TCTAATAATAATAAATTTATTTAGTATTCTTTAATTACTAAAATGTCATCAAGTATATAGAAATTTCTGTATAATGATTTAGCAAAAGATAACTTAATGTCAGCTTATGAATTATCAAAAAATATGCAAGAAAAAATTAGAATGATTTTAGATTTACAAGACGCAGATATTATAATGGATTTATTTAAGAATCAATAATGGATTTTATAATACTAAATTTGATATGTTTTGGAATGAATTAAATGAAAAGTATATTATTATTTATTATTTAATTATTACCATAAACAATTGCTACAATATCTGGTATTTTATTAAAATTTAGCATCATGCATATAATTTTTATTTAGATCATTTCAGCTATACATGATCATCAATATTATATTTACCAATAGTAATTTCTATTGCTAATCTCAAAAAAATTATTATTGAAAGATTAGAAAAAAAATATAGAATGCTACTTAGTTCTGAAATTTAATACCTTTGATGAATATATTCAATTATAATTTTAATTAGCAAATACTATAACAAATGCAACTTCTAAATATACTGGAAGATTTGAAATTAAGTATAAAGTGTAATCATAAGAATTATCTAAGTTTCATGTTGATGTTCATTATTGTGTTGCATTGTTTAGATATATGCAACTATTTGCTATTAAATATTGTAATTATTGTTCTTTAATTTATGCTGATGACAAATATAAAGTTTCAATAGGTGAAGGAATTGCAACATTTAGTAGTGTTAGAAATAAGCCTTCATTAACATTAGCAAATATAGAATTGTCATCATCTGATCATGGTTTTACAAAACTTTTATTAACTTCTTTTATAATATTTATTTGTGATATTCCAATATATATGCATATCTGAATTATTTTATAATAGATAAGTTTATGTCTTTTATAAAAATACAGTATTTCAATCTAGTTCAACTCTTCATCACTTTACTGAATTTTATAAAATTCTTTATAACAATATAATGGATAAAATTTGCCAGAAATTCTTTTAATTTATACAAATAGTAGACCTGATCATAGAAATACATTTGGATTAGTATAAATTGCATTAATATGTCTTTTTTAACAAGGAAATTTTAATTTTTTAACAAGTGTAAGAATTAAGGTTGCTTGTCTAAATCTCTTCAAAATTCTACGATTGGTTTCATCAAAATTTTACTATAGATTTATTATAGTTTTGGCAGAGTTTTGGCAGTTTCGGCATTTATAATAAGTTTCAGCAGTTTCGCCTTTCTCCAAAGTTTCGCCAGTTTTTTAATATAACTTTAATATAATTTCGGCAGAATTTCGCTTTTCGGCGAAACGTCATCTTGCCTAAACCTCCTAGATTTCGGCAAGCAACCTTAGTAAGAACAGCATCATATCATTCTTAAATGAATTCAGCTGAATATGTAATATTTATTTTAAATTTAGCTTTATAAGAAATATCTTTACAAAGAGATTTTATAGATAATATTCTTGAAAATATATATAAAGGAAAGAATATATTAGAAAAAATTAGAAATGCAGCACAAGAAAATAATAAGAAATTAGAAAAATTCTATTAAAAAGTTCAGAAATTACTATTTAAATGAACTAAACGATTAACACTAAATAAAAGAAACTTTTAAATATTCTTCTGCTAGTTTAATAAATATTAATAAAACTTTTGAAATATATATTTAGTTATATAAATTTATTATAAAATCATATATACTAAAAATTCAAAATTTTATTATTTAGGTAATCTATTATATTAATAGCACTTTATAATAAGAGGAAACATTCTTAAATTTATTAAATAAGCATTATGAACTCTAAAATTTTATAAAATCCCACTGTCAAATCAGAACATATTTTTTTTAGGTATTTTTATAATTTTTATTAAACTAAAATTTAATAGATTTATTAATAATAATAAATAGAAAAAATTTATTCATCGCATGTGCAATATCATCGCTATCTTATCATATGACTTGTAATTCATTTATTTGTTTATTTGTTTATTATTATAGCATCTCCTTTTTTATTTACATTCTTTTAAACTTTGATCTTTAATGCTATAATAAGTTTTTTTTTTGTAAAATTTTAAAGTTTAGTATTTTAATAAATGGTAAGTTTAGGTTTTTCAGTTAGTTTTGAATTTTATTTTTTTTTTTTGTAGCAAATAGTAATTAATAAATATTCTCTTTTTGCTTGAGTTTATTTTTGGTTTCTTCTCTTTTTCTCCTTTTAATCACTTTTCTTTTTTGGTTAAATTTCCTTTTGGATTTTCTTTTGGTTTTCATTTCAGATTCTTATTATTTTGAGCACATTTCTTTTTTTTGATTGGATTTTTCTTTACATTTGAATTTTAATTCATTTATTTTAATTTGGACTTTAATTTTATTATTTTCACATTATTATTTCTTGTTTTCTCCTATTTCTTTATTTTTCTTTCATTTCCTTTTTCTTTCTTTTATTTCTTTTTTGTTTCTTTCATCAGTAAATTTTTTAAGATACAAATCCTTAGGAATTCCAAAAATTCTGTAATTAGTAAGGATCCTTAAGGAACCTTCCTTACCAGTGAGGATTCTCTATCATAAAATTTTTATAGAATCCTTAAGGATCCTAAATTTACCATTAAGGAATCCTTAAGAATATTAATTATTATATTTATTAATTTATTTATTTATAGATTTATTAATGTATTTATAGGTCCATGACCATTTTTTCTTAAAATTTTTTTATTATAAACTTTTATTTTTCGCTTTATTCTCTTTAAGTTTTATTACTTCATTATATATATACATTTTTTATTACCCTTTTACTGTAGTATTAGTAATTTTTTTATTTTTGAATTTTGGCAAAAATCCTTAATGTGAAAGCAGGACAACAAAAGTTGGACTGGAAGTGCGCAAAAACAGAACTAAAAAGACAGAACGTACTATACTGAATAATATAAGTTAAGTAATAATGATATGAAGACAAATATCTGACTTCAAGATCATTATTAAGCAACAACTTTTACGATAGAATGAGTCTGCCTAATTACTGAAGACTTTGTCAACTATTTATAACAAAACAACTTATATTCTAACGGACTGACGCTTTTTGATATTTTGGATAAAGCTATCAAGAAACACATGACAGCTCCACAATATCTTAAGCACTACGTGAAGAACTACCTCTGGGAGACTTTTACTAGCCTACTGGAATGCTTTTAACATGACTTTCCTTCACCTCCTTCAACACTTTCTTTGAAGTTAGTTGCAGTATTGCGATTCACCTTTTATACAATTTTAATATAAAAAACTGAATTGCAATATTTCAAAAAAAATGTTTTCACCATTTTTTTTGATATTTTAATAAAAATCCTGAAAATTTTCAGGTTTCAGTTCAGGTCAGGTCAAACAGATAATCTGATATAACCTGACCTGACCTGACCCATTCGGAACTCTAGATGGTGTTCTAATCGGGAGTCTTGTGACTTGATGAATAGGAAACGCCAGTGAGTAGGAGTAAACAATAGGCTTTTAAATATAAAATCAATATAAAAAAGTGGATTCCGATACCTCAATTCACTTTTTATATATAAAATCGATATAAAAAAGTGAATTCCGATACCGCAATTCACTTTTTATATATAAAATCGATATAAAAAAGTGAATTCCAATATCGCAATTCACTTTTATTATATAAATCAATATAAAAAGTGAATTATAATACCATAACTCACTTATTATATAAAATTATAGTTTCAGGTCAACAGGTCATTCAGGTTATACTGATGTTACAACCTGAACTGATGCTGAATTGCAATTGCTAAACCTGACCTGAAAAATTCAGGTCAACCTGTCAGGTTACCTGAATTTGGACAACCTGTTCGGAACTCTATTTAATATATGTAAATTACCTAAAATTTTAGAATATTAAAATTTGGTAATAATAAACAGATATTTAATTTCATTATAAAGCAATTTAACAATCAAACTTTATTGTAAATACAAATATTATTACTAATAATGTAACAATTTACCATTAATTATAAGTTATTGAATTAAAACAACTGTATTATTTATTTATTCAATTAAATATTTTAAACTAAATACAGTTTAGTATCCAATACTTCAAGTTAGTATTAAAAAATTACCTTTTATTTTAAAAATACAGAATAAAAATGATATTCTTATTCCTTTAAAACTTACAGTATGCAATCTATAATATAATCTATTTTATATGTTACATTTCTTATTTAAGATTGGTAAAATCACTAAGCAAGTCACTAAAAGCACTTATTTTATTAATAAAATAATTATTAGTGAAAAATATATATATATATTTTTAATTAAAATAAAAATGATGTGTAAATATAGATAGATTACTTACTCATCAGCTTTTGTGGGAGTTTGTTTTCCAAGAGAAGAACTTCCTGATAAAGATGCTTGAGAAGGAGAAAATGCTCCAAAATATTGACTTCCTTGTGGCATTAGATTTTGTTGTACTTGAGGTGATGATGTTTGTGATTGATTAAAAATACTTGTTAAATCATTCATATTCGAGGTTGTTCGAGTACCAAAATTATTATTAGAATATCCCGATAAACTATTTGGTAAATTTTGCTGCTGATATAAATAGTTATTATTATAATTATTAAATCCTTGAGCAGTATGATTAGGATTGTTATACAAAGAAAGAATAGAAGATTTAAGGTTATCATGACTAGAAGGTCCACTACTATTTGAAGTTGCTAAAAGAGAATTAGGAGTAGTTGATCTAGGCATGGGGAGTGTTTCTTTTTTTTGAGTTGGACTTGAAGGAACCGAACTCGAATTTGTTGTTGATATAGAAAATAAATCAGCTCCTTGAAGTTGTGATATAGTAGGCGATTTCTTTATTGAAATTGATGATGACGATAAAAGATCAACTTCATCGTTACTATTATTATTTGGTTTCTCTTGTTTCTTTTTTTACAGAGTAAAGGAAAAAGTAAGTTTCTCAATAATTGGCAACCAATAAATTAATTTTATATTAATAATCCTACCGAATCTCCTGAATTTTGTTCACCTAAAGTTCTAGGATCTGGAATTTCTCTTGATTTCACCCAATTTTTCATCTCGTACTTTCTTCGAATCCAACTATCCATGTTACTATATATAAATTACTAGTTTAAATAATTATTCGATTATGAGAAAACAAATGAATAATAATGACAAAAATAATAAGAGTAACAATACTCTACCTTTCTGGAGGTCTCTTATTTTCTAAATTAGCTTCCCAATAACTTAATAAAAAGAACTATAAATATTATAAACAAAAAAGTATATGTGAAGTTTGTTATATATGACTTACAGGTTAGCTTTGGTATTTCCCCATAAAACCATATTCTCAACTTGTTCGGGTGTCCAAGTATCCAAATCTACAGACTTGACTAAAAATATATAACAATATTTTGATATTAATAATAAGAAAATTTTCATTTGTCTTTCTAATGAAGGTATATAATCCACTTTTTTTAGTATTACCTCGACTAATATGAGTTCCCATGGATCGATGGGTACCCGAACAAGTTATACAAACAAAAATACCCAAATTCCAAGAAGCCCAACGCGGATCTATTTCAAAGATGTTGATAAAAAAGTACAAAATTTTTTATCGTTGAAAAGATATCAAAGCAAACCTTTTTTTTTACAATCTGCGCAATATTTATTTTCGAGTCGGTCTAAACAAGTTTTAAGGATTTTTGCATGTTTCTGGTTAAGGCTTTTATCAGCAGTTCTTTGAAATCGTGTAGACATGTTAAAAAGTTTATAGCTAGGAAATATAATTAAAAAATATGTATTTGTTTTATTCTAAGTACTTTCGAAAATATTATTGGTTAATTTGTAGATCAACCAATAATATTTTCGAAAGTGTACCGTGTAACGGTGTAACATTTTCGGTACAATACCCACAACTTCTCTTGACAGGTCTTCTGATATCAATCTGCATTGCGAGATTTTTAAATATCAATAGATTATTATATCTAACAGAAATATCTAACAATTTTAATTCGATATCTTCGAAAAACAGAAAAAAAGATTTTAATGTCGCCTTTGTCATATAAAATTAATTATATAATAAAAAACGAGGAAAGTAAAAACAAATCAAGCGATTATTTTACTAGAAAGAATTAATATAATTGTCTGATAAAAAAAACTTGATATATCACAAAATGTCAAAAATTTTAATTATCACTTCGTAAACCATTTCCTCGCGAATTTGGAATACATCTTTTGGAAAGTTTATCTAAGAAGTAGAATTATTGGTCCAGAGGACTATATAATTGTATATAATTGCTAGTGAAATTGTATCACGAAATCTTAATATAATACTTCAAATATATTCAAGAAAAAAGAGTAGTAAAATGAGAAAGATATTCAATTTAAATAATTATTTATTGTAGTTCTTTATTATAGGATTAGAAAAGAAGGAATATAAGATATTTCATTGGTTATTTTACAGTTTATAGTAATAGTGATTTTTAGCTTTACGATGAAAATACTTTATAATGCAATCTTTTTAGCTGTACAAAGATTTATTTGCAAGAATACGACATTTAAATCAGTAGCATAACAAATTAGTATTTTAGCTAGGTTTTACATTTTTTTCAACAATATAAGAAAGCAGATTGCAATTACATAATAAAATTAATGAAATATAAATGCTTGATTTTTTTATTTACTAAAACCCAACGAATGACCAAATGCAAAACAACTTTTTTTCTTTATTGACTATATTATTAATTTCTACTTTTTAGAATATATAAATTTAAAATATATAAATAAATGCGAATAAAATTTATAATTATTGAGGGGTGGGGTGGGGGAAATTTTTTTTACAAAACATATAATAATTTGTTTCATATCCAACACTCTTTTTTCACATAAAGTACATAACCTTTAACAGTTCAGCTTTTACCGCAGCATAACTCGCAACCCCCCCAGCACCTTCTGAAGTATCTGGATCGCTCCAATTTTCACCACTCGCATGAAATCTTGCTCTAGCACAAACTAAATGTGCATAATACACTGGAGGTACCAGAGAAACTGCACGAGTGCACCGAGCAAAAACATAACACAAATTGTACGATAACGTTTGAAGTGAATCAGAGTTGAATCCGTTTTCATCAAGTAAAACATGATAATGTGTCGGACGTGAAGTTCCTTGTAAACCAGGATGACTTTGAAGATAAAAGTCGAATTCAAAAGGATGAGTTATTACTGATTCGACTACCGTACCAGGTTGACAGTTTCCTGTTCTGTCGGCATCTTTACTTTCCATTGGGAAAAAGCGAGTGTGATGACGTTTTTGCACAATTACAAAGGTTATAGTTGGTTTATATTTCTCGTCAAGTGATTTGCATGCCTCTAAAATAATTATTATAATAATGTAAGCAAAGCGTATGTAAAATATTTTAATATTTTAAAAATAATTTAAAAATAAATATATACCTTTTATTGCCTTGACTTCATCCTTTAGTACTATAGAAAATTGGCCTTCAGAAACTCCGTCTCGGTAAAATAAAATACGATCAGGCTTTCTTCCACATGTTTGATAAAAGGTTTTTAACAGTTCCTTAACCATCTCGGCTAAATCACTAATTACTTCCTGTCTACCCGTTTGGACGCGAATGGAAGCGGCATAGCGAGATGCTTTTGCATCCATTGAAGCAGTCACAGCAGCAATAGATGGACGACCCGTATTCTCTGCACCTGGAGCAGGATGAGTAACGTCAGCACCCATAAGGATAGTCGGGCGCTGTGTGATGAAAGGTACTTGCGTTGGGTCGATAAATGAATTCATCCCGCCAAGTTTAACGTTCATTTTTAGACAAACGTTGGCACAATATTGTTTCTTTGCTGCAAACATATGTTTTCCCTGAATGCATTGAGAAGCGACGCCAATTACGGTATCACTAACACGCTTAATTTCGGCATATAACGGTACACCAGTGTTGGGGAGAATACAAAGAATCAGCTGAGGTTTTGATTTAGCCAAGTTTCCAGCCTTAACCCAAACTTGTCTCAAAGAAGTTTCAATTGGACCCTGAGGGTTACAATGTTGAATAGGTGGATTCTTATTTGGAATATTCATTCCAGTGTCTTGACATGTGGTAACCAATTCCCTAATGAATTTTTGTACAGCAGCCATCGGATAATCTCTTTCATTTCCAAAAACAGCACAAGCCCATGAACCAAGTGTAGCGCCAGTAGCTACTTTTTTATCTCTTAAATTCCATGAACCATCTCTTGGAGTAAAATTAGCATCTCTGGAGGTGGGATGATATTGTAATTTTGGTGCGGGCAATACTCTAGCTTGAACTACAGCCATTTCAGTAGATACTTTCAAACCAAATTGTTGCATATACTCATTTTGTCGATAATCAAGTATTTGTAAACCTTGACTTATTTTATTGGCACGGGCACTTGGTGGCTGACAAGTAAATTTTATCATGTCGGCTGTTTGCCTTTCATTTAATTTGCGCATATAACGTTGTCCCTGGTAAAAATAAAAGAATATGATTTTTTTTAAAAAAAAAAAAAAAAAAAAATAATTTTTTTTTTTTTTTATTAATATTTTTACATTACCTCGACCACGTTACATATTTCCATTGGTAAATAGGTCTCCTTTCGGACGACAACACAAGGAAGAAATGGATATTGTAAACGTTTATTATATGTATTAAAAAAGTACGTAGCGACATCGATTTGTTGACCATTAACTTCAAATTTAGTATTTGAAGCTGGAGTATTGGTTAATTTAGTTATTCTCAATCGACGTTTTGAAGCATTTTCACCACGGTGAGTAACATAAACCTTCAAGTTCTTCAGAGATTTTTCAAGCTTTGTACGATCCCTATCATGAATTCTCCTAAGATCATCAACGCTTCGTTTGTTGAGCATTTTTACTACCATTTGTACTAGACTACCACCTTCATAAAAGGCCGTAGCGCTTAAATCAACGTTAATCATCATTTTTTTTGGTGTAGGCCTCGCTGATTGATAATATCCTTGCCAAACTTCCACCCCACCGTTAAGTGGTCGTGAGCCTTGTTTAGTGAAGAATGATCTTCCAAAAGTAGCATGTTCCATTGATGGTTTATGGCGAATTAATATATCAAGAGCCATAATACCTAAATAACATTAAAATCAAATTATTAGTAATAAAAAAAGAAAATTTATTATAAATACAAAAACTATAGTAATAAGTATTAACCTGTTAAAATGTTTGGTGATATAGACCCCTTTCCCTCAAGAAATCTGTGAAGTTCTTCCATATTTATTTTATTAACAAGCTTAATTTTAACTTTAAAAGCACGTGCAGGCCTTTTACCAGACGGGGTACCATCGTCTTCTGGTAGAGTTACGTCGAAAGCAGCAGATTCACCAAAGGGCAATGGTTTAGCAGTATAGAGATTTTTACGACCATCGTATACGGGTTTTATTTTACCAAGATCTTTCTCTGAATGCAAAGCTTCAAAGTGTTTATAAATTTTTCTGTTCATAGCAGGCGGAACTTCCGGTGAAATATCAATATCATAATGGTGAATATTAGCATCAGGTAGAGCCGTTACTTCAAAAAAGTTTGCTCTAACTCTTACGGGACGACCTAAACGACCTAAACCAGGACGTTTAACAAATTCTGTTATCGAGGCCATTTATTTTTTTTTAAAAAAAAATTAATAGGGTAAAAAAATAGTATAAAAAAAAGAGTTAATAAAAAAAAATTGAGAATATTTATAGTATTTTATAGTTATAATATTATTTCCGAGACTAGACACAAAAGCAAACTCCTATAATGACAAAACGGGACTAATTAATTGTTAAATGATTTCAATGATTTCTAATAAAGGCAAATTTCGGGCATAAGAAATTGAGTATAATATATATTTCATGCAATGATACAGGACAAAGACTTGAAAAACCAGGATTTTATTTGTTTGACTGAACACAATATTTAGGTTTGCGAAACGTTATTATTGTTTTATTAATAGTTTTTCTTTTATTTTTTTATTTCTTTCATATAGTGGTTTTTTTTTAATTTGGTTGGTATTTTAAAAGAATTTGGGAGGGTACGACTAATTACGACAATTACGACATATAAAAGTGTTGATCCCTTTTATGTACCGCACTATAATCATATGAATCATAATGATTGCATCAGTATATACCTTTTTCATTTTGATCAGCACTTAAAAATCACTATTAATCATAGTTTAGTTATTTATCAATGATTATGCGTTTACATAATTATGAGCCCCATTAGAAATAAAAAAATTCAACAAATCATTTACTTGGAAAAAATTAACTATTTACAAAAATAAAATTTTTTTGTGATATTCTTGATCAAGCATAAATAATAATAATAATTTGTTAATAAAATTCCCCCAATTTCTTAAATACTGTATTATCTATCTCAATCCTCAATAGTTTCATAAAAATAAATATGATATATGATTTCAAAAAAAAGTGTACTTTTTTTAGCAATATGATCAACATATTAATGCGATGTATAAATTATGTTATATCCCTATTTTGACTGTTCTCAAAAAAATGCAGTTCTAGGCGTTTCACTTAATGGCTCAATATATTCCATATCAAACATTTCTCCTTTCTTTCTAAGATCAAACTCAGTAACGGCTCCACTGTTTCTTTTGAAACCAAATACACTTTCCTCTATTCTCATTAACTCTGTAACAAATCCAATATTAGGGCATATGCCACTTCTATGTTCCGTTACATAATCGTAAGCTTGCCTTAATGTCCATTGATGTGATTTGATTAGATAAGCTAAAACTGCCGTCACTGACCGTGATCTTCCCGCTTTACAATGAACATATACTGGCGCCTTATCCTCTTGTGCACGTTCTATTTTAAAATAAAAATTATTATTTATTTATTCATTCATTTATTTATTTATTTGAAAAAAAAAGGACATAATAATAGATAAATTTATACCTATAAAATCAACAGCGATATTTAAAAATTTTTCAACGTCTTCTTCAACAGAATCTTTAACGTTTAACTTTAAATAACGATCAAATTTTTCCTTTAACCCTAGAAAATCCTCACATTCGAAAGCCATATTTAGAATTCTTCTTACACCTTTATTTTTTAACGCCTCCACCTCTTCCTCTGTTGTAATTTCAGGGCCTATAAAGAGAAATTCGGGTATTATGGTAGAAACTACAAATGCAATCTCAGGATGTACTACAAAAGTTGGAGTGCTTGGAGATACGGGGACATTTTCACAATTTGATATTATAGTATCATGTAATCCACGTGACGAAGTTGGATAAAGCGACAAAAATTCACCTTTTTATAAAATAAAAATTGTTATCATTATAATATATACACACATATCATTGAAAAAATAAATAAAATTGTACTTACTAATTTTGCCATTTCCATTAGTTGGTGGAAATAGATATTGTAGCCCATTTGAAGGCCGTCGTCCTCGTGAAACTTCAATATGTTTTGTTCTAGCATTTGTTTCTAGTGGTGGTGGTTGTGAATTTTGTTCTTGTTTAGGTTCAGGTTGTTTTCCGCTTCTTTTGTGTCTGAGAGAATTTCGTTCAGTATTTACTGAAAATAAAGAATCTCTGCGAACTAAACCTGAACCTTGTTGTTGCTGTTGTTGTTCTTGACCTTCATATTCCGTTAAAATATCATTAAGAGAATCTTTATCGGAAGGAGAATCAACTTCTAATCCAGTAGCAATAAACTCATTTTCTTGATCCCATAATCGAAATGCCTCAAATCCTCCTTTAAGCCAATATACTCTTCCTCTAGGTACATCGTTGGTTTCTTGAACGTTATCAGATGACGGGGAAGAATGAAAACTTAACATAATTCTTTCTAAGACACTCAATAAAGTCCAGCCTGAACTATCTTTATCTGTTTCATCCATTGAATCATCAAAAATTATAACATCATGATGATATTGATCACCATCTTCATTTACTATACTTAAATATTTCTTACGACCTTCTGGTGTTGTAATAAATGAATCTAAAGAAAAGTTGCTCATATTCCCACGACGATATCTTTTAATTAATAGTGTTGGCAAATTGACATTAAAAGATTCACGAATATGTTTATCTTGATACAACGCCAAATTACGAACATCTATTAAAATAGGTTTAGAAAACCTATGTAAACATGCATCTTCAACTTTTGCACTACGAGATGAAGATTCTCTTAATCGTTCAGCAAGTTCAGAAGGTAAAATTGGTAATGCTTTTTTACAAAATGTAGGTGATTTTTGTGGTTTAAGATTAAACTTTCCGAGTTTTGATGGAGATTTGGGTGCCGCAGATTGAATAGAAGATAGCGAAAAAGATTTTCCAAAAAAGAAACCAGGTTTAGAATTGTTTGTTTGAGTTACATTAGAAGAAGTAACCGGACTGACAGTAGGATTTTCGGAATGTTTACGAATCGAACTATTACTTCCTTTTCGGTGTAAAAATTTAGGGGATTTAGGGGACTTTGGTGATTGTGGAGGAACAGCTTTCGGAGAGGTAGATTTGGGTGATTTTAGATTATTATTTGTTTTTTGGAATTTTAAAAATGAAGTAGCCGTTGGGGATTTACGACCTTTTATATTGGTTCTTTGAAAAGCAGCAGATATTGCAGATATAGGTTTAAGAATAAATTTTTTTGTTGGACTTTGAGGAGTTTTTGGGGATGGTAATTCTAAAAATGAATCACTTTTAGCGGAAGTAATAGGTGAAGGGACATTTAAAATAGGGGAGCGAGGGGGAATTATAACTGGAGCCGGTATTTTTGAAAAACGTTTTTTACGAAAACCCGTCATTTTAAGGGTACTTTCTAAAAAAACGCCTTTTTCTGTATCAAGGGGTCCTTCATTCTCAAGGGTTGGTTGCGTAAAACTTGTTGGTAATGAGGCAGTTGAATTCATAATTGGAAAAAAAATAAAAAAAAATATATATATATACTTGTTTAGTTTTTTTGAGGGGAAAAAATTTTTTTTATTATGATGATGAAACGGAGTATGGCTAAATGCAGGGTCTCAAAAATAGTATAAGATTTTCCTAGCTTATTTAAATTTAGAAAATTTATTTTTAAGTCAGAATGAATGTACGACGTAAATAATAAGGCGGAAAAATTGTATGATTGCATAGTGCAAACTGCGACAGTCGATCATACCATGTTAAGCTTTACTTTACATATAATAAGAAATGCTACAAAAAAATCACTACATAAATTGAATCTGCAAAAAATTTTAAAAATTTTGTGCGCATACTTGCATTAATGCCAAACACGTTAAAATATCAAATATTGAGAAATAAAGAAATAAAGTTAATATATTATAAATTACAAAAAAAAAAAAAGAATTATAATTACAATTAATAAATAACAAAATTAATAAAATCAAATAACTACATAAAATTAACAATATTTAAAATTGTTGAATATAATAATGTCAAGGAATTGTTCATACTTCTTTAACTTCTTTAAGCGGAGCATCCCTAAAGGAATTAGAACGTTAATTAATAAATGCTCTTAATAATAATCAATTCCATTTTATATAATAAAATAGACATTTACCATGGCCTTGGAACTATAGCTACGGGAAGAACCCTAAAAAAAATTGCAAATTAAATAAATTAAATCTAAAATTAATTTTTTTTTTTTTTAAAAAAAAAATAAGAATCAAGTTGCTTACCAAGTAGCAGCCAAAACAACACCATGGCCAACATTTTGAGATTTAATTACAGTGAATTGTAAACCAACCCAAGCAGAAATCAAACCAAAATAGGGAGAAATAGCAGAAGCATTTCCGGCTATAATTTGTATAAATCCCAAAAAACTGTTACTGACATTTTGAGCTTGATCCAATCTACCCATACATTTTTGCGGCACATAAATTTCGTAACCCCACCAATAAACATAAGCTGAAATATTATCTGAAGGTGGCTGAAAAAGTTTTATAGAAGAAGTTGAAGGTGGTTTGATTGTAACCTTTTCTTTTTTTATTTTTTTAATGGATGATTCTTTGTTATTTTTATCTGATGATTTGGATGGTTTTGTTGAAGTTGTTTCTTCTTCTACTACTACTACTTCTGTAACTTCAACTGAAGGTATAATTAGGTCTGGGTCCGGCATTGCTTTTAATACATCTATCATACCCTGTGCAGCCGTTTTATTTTGTAAAGCTTTGACCACTTTTTTGGCTTTTTTTCTATCTTTGGAGTGATCTGAATGATTAACTCCTAAAATTATATCTTTAACTGTATGGGCAAGACTTTCATGGTATTTTGGGTCTGCATTTTTCTTATTTTTTCGATATGACAGAATAGACATTAAAACCATAATTGCCAATGGAAACAAAAAAAAAAAAAAAAATTAAAAACGCGTTGTGAAAAATGTACTTAGGGGGGAGCGTATATATATTTTCCATGTTCCATCCCCTATTTAAATTTAACTTATTTATATTTGGCAATGATTTTCATAATGAATATAACTAATGCAGGAGAGTTTCCATTTACAGATTAGAGCTGTACGACTACTAACTGAAGAACGTCATTATAGTGATCTTTTTAATTTTTTAAACAAAGGTACAATTATATCAAGTGTAAGAATCCTTTAGATGATATTGATAAAATAGTAAAGGTGTCACCGTGTATCAAGATCATCTTTATGGGAGGAGTTTTTTAATTTAGGATAACCAACTCATTAACGCTAATGTGCTCTCGTGCCATTTGTTTATATTTCTACTTTTTATCATGTATTTTTTTTTAGAGGAGGGCTTTGTTTCAAGGATGCATATCTCAAATATTCTCAATTGGCGTAAAATGAAACCTTTATGTATGTGAAATCTCCATCATAATTAGAATTAACACTTAAATCTGATAGTACAAAGATCAACTGAAAGGATTCTTGTAAACTATAAGGGACAGCAAATGTGCGGAGTACTTTTCAATCAGTGCATGTCTCAAGATAGAATGTAAATTATAGTATGTTATCTGTCAGTATCTTTAGTGAAACAGCCACCAAAATACTGGGAAGATTAGCTTTTTTATAAGAGAATTTTTTGAACTACTTATTAGACAGCAACGATATATACGGGTCAGAACACAGAACTTTTGAAGGTACCAATACTTCCTTTACAAGCTTTTTTTCACTATTTGTACCATGACTACCATCTTAACTATCGATTACTGGCAATGCCACTTAATCTCAAATAAAGTGCCAACTACAGTTTTAGAATAGCATCATCTAAACTTAGACCAAGATATATCTTTAGAAGGAGTGCCAACTTGGTGCTTCTAAAAAAAAATACTGATCAAATGGATTTGGGATCTCTGGTTCTCTGGATCAAGAACCCAAGCTTATCATATTAAAATATTTCTGCTGCCTTGGCACCGTTCTTTCACAAGTTCACTAGTTGGATAGGGATCTATTGTTGGACAAATATAATAATGTGTATGTAAAAAATGGCAGAGAATATTGAAGCCTTTTTTTTTTTATTTCATCTTAAAAAATAATAATATTCTATAATGTAATAATGCAATGTATATAAATTAATTAATAAATATTTTTTCCTTTACAATATTTTAATAATAAATCTAATTCAATAATAACTAATATTATATAACCTAATTAATATATGGTTTATATTTATATTTATAATAACTTCCATTCCCCTAATACATAGTGTCTGTAAAAACAAAAAAGTTTCACTGAAAAATCAATGTCTTCAGAATATTTAATCACAAATTATAATGAATGTTCAAAAAGTTTATATGTACAATGATTATAATTATATTCCGTTTCAATGATATAAATTTTGGTTTATTTCTTTCGTTTTTCTTTCATAATATCAATTACTTTGGCAGCCGATTCCTCATCTTTCATTTTAAGTAAATAAACAATCCGAAGGTTACTTCCCGTATTATTTAATGTAAGTGCCACGCTCTTTCCAACTTTTTCAACACCATCTTCACTAATAATAGCGTCAATTATTGTCTTTGTTTTTTTATCTGAATTAACTATAATTCTCTTGCGATGTGAAGGTGTCTCAAGTGATAATTTCATATTTCCCCATCCGATGTTTGTCCAAACTCCATGATCATTCTGTAAAAATACGCGACATTTAACTTCCATAACTTGTGTAACAGTTTTTTCAACTTCACGCAAAGGCTCAATTGTTTGTAATGAAGAAGATCGAGAAATATATCCTTCAGCAGGAACATTTAATTCCTTTGCAGATTCCTTAATTTTCAACAGATAATTAATAAACTGATCTGATTCTGCTGAATCAGTTGTATTAATTTTATAATATTCTTTTCTTTGCCCAATCTCGCATGATATACTAACAGAATTTTCATCCTCACGATGAAGTGTTGTTGCAGAATGAACCCATGCATTAAGAACCATTCTATTTGATGATTCTAATAGAATAGCCCAACATCCTTTGTTTTGAACTGTCAAACGAACTTCAACAATACACTTATCTTTCTTGGTTAAGGGCCTCCACTCACTATTTATCCAAACGAATACTTCACATGCAGATGATCTAAAAATTGTTTCTTTAAAACTTGCGATGCTCATAACTGATACAAGTGAAGCCATGGAATTAGCACGTTCAACTTGTAATCCTACGGTCAATTTATTTCTTATACCCGGAGATGATATTGGATCACTATTATGACGTTCTTGACCTCTCCCTTGTCCAGATGGTAAATAATCACCCGGATATTGCCCACCTGCATTTTGAGGTGGATCCGGTGTACGTGAACGTGTAATAGGTGAATCTGTACTGGAAAAATCAGGAAATAAGTTCGAACCTTGGCTAATAGAGGACACAGGACGCATAGATGCTCTATTTATTAAGTTTCCTACACTTGGGCTTCTTTTCAATGCATCTGAAGACATTGAAAGTGTTGAAATCGTTGATAAGCGAGGATTACTTTCGACTTTACGTACAGTTCGCGATTGGGGGTCTAAAAATCAATAAAAAATTCAATTAATATTAACAAATAATTAATTATATTTAAAAAGAAAAGTTTGGATACCATTGGAAGAAAATTCAATCGCTTTATTAATTTCTCTTAACCAATCGTCCTTGGTGTCTTTATCATTTGCGTAAAGGATTATCATTTCTTTTTGTAAAATTGTCAATTCCAATGAATCTAATATAATAAGAAATGTTATAAATTTATGTAATTTATTAAAATCTGCATGTATATTCGTTTATTCACCAACCTTCTTGGTCGTCGCTTACATCATTGATTGCAAGATGGTATGTATTAAATGGTGGATACATTAATTTCAAATCCTTCTCTTCCTGGGTAATTTCTTGACAAATCAACAAAAGGTCAGTCAATAAAAATATGTGAGCATTAATATGAGTTGTTTCAGTAGAATTCATGGATTTTGTGGTTTCAATAATAAAATCGCCATGAAGAACAATTTTACGTTCGAAAGGAAGATTTTTTGAGAGAAGTGAAATTTTTACAATCTGGAAAAAAAAAATCAAGTTTAAATTGTTCGTTAAAAAACTTACTAAATTAGTAGATAATATATAATAATTATACCTTTGGTAATTTGGTAAATAAATCTTTAGTTTTAGATGTATCAAGTTGACTTTCTAACTCTTCTAAAGTCCAATCTCTCTTAACGGATTGAACTTTATCGGTAGATACAACAATATTTGGATCAACTGGAGAATCTATAGTTTGCGATTTTATCGAAGGAGCAATATTATCTTGTTTTTCTATTTGATGAACCTCTATAGTGGGAGACACCATCACTGAGGATACATCTTCCGAAACTGACGAAATAACTGTTGACGAGACAACGTCTTCGGCAGCTGAAGGATTCATCGTATATGAAACAAACTCTTTTATTTTATTTGAACTTTTGATTTTTTTTTCTAGTTCAAGGAGACGATCAATTCGTTCATTTGCAGCCAACAATAGACTATTATCAGCTCGTCCAGGCTCTGTGGACCTATACAATCGCTTTAAGTACAATAAAAAAAAAAAATTTTTTTATAAATTTTTAATATATAAAAATTTATATTACCCTGAACACACATACCAAATATAATTTTTTGTAATAATATAACCGTTTTAATGGCATATCGAAAAAATAATCCAAGGAAACAGGTTGATTCTTTTCAACTGATATATCCTAATAATAAAGAAATAATACGTTAATTTCTGTAATTTAATAAATAACATACAAAAAATTATAATAACTACATTTAAAGTCTGTTGTAAATTTAAATTTTCTTCGATTTCGGGTATAGAATCAAATCCTAATTTAAAGTTTTCGACATATTTTGTATATGGATCATCCATATCATCGATCTAAAATATCAAAGATCACATGTCAGATAAGTATAATAAATATATGTTATAAAAAAAACCTACCCAGATCAATAATGTCTCACCGAGATCTTTTGCTGATGCTGGATTCGATCCTATTTTATCAAGTTTCTGTAACAAATTTAATATAATTTAGTATTTTGTTAATCATATTGTTTTGCTAACGAGAATAATATTTAAGATAATGATACTCACTAAGTAAAATTTTTTGTTCTGTTTATAAATTACTTCAACATTTCGAAACATTAGATCTAATTCTGGCGGAGGAAAATCATCATTACTCCAACATGCTGTAACTTGCTAAAAATTCAAAATATATTAGGAAATGTTTTAAATGACATCAATATATTAAATTTATAAGCATCTTACTTACTTGTAACAAACATTTTAAATCCTTAAGATATTTCTTTTCAGTCTCTATAAGATCAATTAAAGGATTATTAACTCTTCTATTCGATTCTTGGTAAGGTGAGGGTGGGCTCATTGGTGGTGTTTGTGGTGATTGAGGTGAAAGTGGAGAAAGTAAGCCGTGTGAGGTCTATATCGAGGTTTTGGTTGATTTTGCATTATAAGTAGACAATCAAAACTGAAATAAAAGAAACACACACTGAAACTTACAGGGTCCGTTTCATACTGCCTTGTTGGCTCAACTGTTTCCATTATAGTAAATATACAAGTTACTTTATGATATACAAAACTATGGTAAAGTCAGATAAAATAACTAGAGGGATAAATTTTATTATGGTGTTTGGAGTAAGAAGAGTGTAAAAGTAAAAGGAGCGAAAAGGTAAAAAGAGTGAAAGAGTAAAAAAAGTGTAAGGGTAAAAAGTAGGGATGTTTAATTAATTGAACCGAAGGTAAAAAAAAAAAAAATTGAATTAGTGGAACCTCATGCACATCCATTTATATACAACATTTATATACAAGCTAAACTAAAGGATCCAATTTCTAGAAATTATGCTGTGACTGCGTACACAACTATATTAAATGAATTATTGGTCATGTTTGTTTTATTGAATTCGGAATTATGCAACGAAAAAAAAATCGTTATTGTAAAAATAATACATAAAAATGATCTTTTTTTAGAACCCAAATTTTACTTGTTTCTTTATTTAATGATTTATTAGCCATTTTTATCAAAATAATATAGTTAATTATAAATTGGATCGACAATTTCTTATTAAGAAAATCCGCACAACGATTATTATACTTGTGATGATTGCTTTAATTTTTTAATTTTTTAATTTTTAACGCAGTCGGCGATAATGTTACACGATACGCTTAATTTTCAAAGGGTCTTGATCAATGTAACATATCAATATATTGATATTTTCCAAAAGTTTTATCATTACTAACGGTAAATACGGATTTAATTTCAATGGATTATTTATCGGGCCGAAAACAAAACTCCGATACTTCTTCAAATTTCTTTTTTTTCTGAATACTAAATTGTATGTTATTGTTCTTCCAAATGCATAATTAATATATTGCATTGTTAGTTGTATGCAAAATTTTTTTTTTCCTACAGTTTATTAAAAAAAGTTTGAAATACCATTTTGGCAATTATAATCACCTATGGAGAGAGGAAAGGCCTTAGATGATTCCCAGGAGGATGAACAACTGAGTCTCAATACACAAGACGGAATGACGGATGGGTATCTTATTATCCGTGTGATGCACCTGTGACGTGATCCAAGAAAAAAATCTAGGCGCAGTAGTACATTTACACGTTTTACTGTGCCCCATTTAAAACACTATGAGTATATGACATCCTGCGTCTTAATCAGCTGAATTTTATAAACTTGGCGTTAATTGTACTCCATATGTGATGAATTTGATGTTACATCAATATTACGACATTTTAAAGAAATATGGTTGCACGGGTATGCCCCATAACATTATCACACGGCGTGGTAACTTAATAACCCCAAAAATTGAAATAGTCCAAAAACCCGAATCTGAAACACATACTAGAAATGATTATCATGGTTTCTTCTTTCGCCGACTCATAATTAAAGGGTCTTGCAGGTTTTTTTTTCTTGATCCTTTTCGCCATTAAGAAATCATTTTTATCAATCAAGATATTCTCTTTATCATAATTTCTAAGTGTAGAAACTAAAAAATAACTATTAAAATTTTCTTGTTCATTTATTATTTATTTCTCTTGTAACGAGGCAAAATAATTTATAATTTAATTTAATTTAAATAAATCTATCAAATAAATTAATTTAAAATAATTTTTTTTTAACGACACACAAAAAAAAAATATGAAAAAGCTGTATAGTATAACTTTGATGTTTGTTATATGGTGTTCTTTTACCATATCTACAAGTTTCGCGGATTATATTCATCAAGAAGGCTATTGTGTTATGCATGGCCATTGTGGCTCCAAAAGTTTTTTTGGCAAGGAATTGAACTGTCCTCACAACAAACCAGCTATTGAGGTAAATGATTCAACTACTTATTATGTCTTATTTTATTTTATTTTATTTTATTTTTTGTGTTACAGAACAAATATATTGCAAATGATTTACCGTAATTTAATATTATTTCTTATGTTGATTAAACTTCATTAGCCCGATTACGATTTGAGATCAAAACTTGTTCAAATTTGTGGGTCACAATACGAAAATTCACTAACATGTTGTGATGCGAATCAATTAGACGATCTCAACTCCAGTACAAAACAAGTTGAGACATTGATCAGCACCTGTCCAGCATGTTGGAAGAATTTTTTAAATTTTTTTTGTACATTAGCATGTTCTCCAAACCAATCAACTTTCTTAAATATAACGTCCATAGGAACTTCACCAATTACAAATTTAAAAATTGTTACAAGTGTTGATTTTTTCGTGGGCGAAACACTTGGAAAGGGATTTTACGATTCTTGTAAAGACATAAAATTTGCTGCCACAAATGGTTATGTAATGGATTTTATTGGTGGTGGAGCCAAAAATTATCATGATATGTTGGCTTTCTTAGGACAAGAAAGACCTATTGGATCTCCTTTTCAAATTGATTTTCCTCTAAATGATACTTCAGATATCATGTTGCCATATGACGACCCGCCTAAACGATGTAATGATATTGATGTAAAATATCGTTGTTCTTGTGTGGATTGTCAATCGGTCTGTCCCGTGCTAGAACCAACTCCGGAAGAGAAACCTCCGTGTCTTGTTGGTTCCTTGACTTGTTGGGCATTTGGACTTTACCTAACTTACTTTATTTTATTAATGGCTATTGTGATTAGACTTTTCGTAGAGAAATTTTGGAATAGAAATAGGTTTGACAGAGAAGGATTTGAACCTGTTGCACTTACTGAAGAAGAAGACACTTCATTAACTCAAGAACATCCATCGAGACGATACGCTCTTAATTTACTTTTACAAGATTATTTCTATCAACAAGGATATATGTGTGCTAAATATCCTTGGCAAACGATAGGTGTCGCCGCGTTAATAGTATTTCTTGCGACATTGGGTTGCTCACAATTTGAGGTGGAAAGAGACCCTGTAAGACTCTGGGTTGCGCCAAACTCAGATTCTGCAATGCAGAAAGAATTCTTTGATCAAAATTTTGGACCATTTTATAGAACCCAACAAATTTTTATAAGTAACATTAACTCTGGCTTAAGTATTATAAATTATGATACTATAAAAAAATTATTTATTATTGAACGCGAAATTCGTGAATTGAAATCTTTCCCTGATAATCATACATTGCAAGATTTATGTTTTCGTCCTAATGGAGATTCGTGCATAGTTCAATCTGTAACAGGGTATTGGCAATCGGATTTGGATAGATTTTCAAAAGAAACTTGGGAAGAGGAATTTAAGTCATGCACATTTGCACCAACTTACTGTTTACCGGATTTTCAACAACCATTAAAGCCAGATATGATTCTTGGTGGGTTTGAAAATGAAGACTATATAAATGCAAAGGCTTTAGTCCTTACTTATGTTTTGAGGAATTCATTGAATCAGAATGAAATCGATGCAGCTAGAGAATGGGAAAAATCATTAAGAGAATATTTGGATAAATTAATTGGCGGAGAAAATGATAAAATCGACGTGTCACAACTTCGAATAACTTTCTCAACAGAGGTCGGATAATTAATTGTCATGTTTGCATTTTTATTAACATAAATAACATTAACAAAATTTTCTTCTTTTAGAGTTCGCTTGAAGCTGAATTAAATAAATCAACAAATACCGATATTTATACTATCATTTTATCGTATTTGGTCATGTTTTTTTATGCATCCCTGGCTTTAGGAAACGCTACATTGTTCCCGCGAACGATTATTGACTCAAAATTTATGCTTGGAATCAGTGGAATTATTATAGTATTGGCATCAGTTTCAACAGCAGTCGGAATTTTCTCTTTACTTGGAATTAAAGTTACTTTAATTATAGCTGAAGTGATTCCTTTCCTTGTCCTCGCAGTAGGAGTTGATAATATTTTCATATTGAATCATGAATTTGAAAGGCTTACGCTGAAATCATTTGGTGAAGTGTCAGTTGAAGAACGTATTGCTAAAACATTAGGACGTATGGGACCAAGTATTTTGTTGAGTGCATTAAGTGAAACAATTGCATTCGGTTTAGGTGGAATTGTTACTATGCCAGCAGTAAGAAATTTTGCTCTTTATGCTTCATTGGCTGTTTGGGTAGACTTTTCTTTGCAAGTAACTGCGTTCGTAGCATTCTTGTCTTTGGACGCTAAACGACAGGAAGAAGATAGAATTGATTGTTTTCCTTGCTATAGAATTGAAAGGGCCCCTGAACGCATTGACAAAGAAGGGTTATTACAAAAATGTATGCGAAAATATTACGCACCTTTTGTATTAAATAAGAAAGTTCGTATCGTTATCGTTATTTGCTTTGTTGGCGTGTTTATGACATCTTTGAGTTTTGTCCCTCAAGTAGAACTAGGTTTAGGTAAGTAATTTTATTTTAATTTGATAAATAATAAATTTTTTTAAAAAGAATGTTTTAATTTTTATTTATTTATTTATAGATCAAAGGATTGCTTTACCGTTCGATTCATATTTAGTTGATTATTTTAATGATTTGGATGCATATTTCCGCATTGGACCTCCAGTTTACTTTGTTACTAAAGATTTTAATGTAACAAAAGTAGATGGCCAAAAATCATTATGTGGAAGATTTAGCACGTGTAACCAATTATCATTGGCAAACATATTAGAACAAGAACGCAAACGTTCCAATGTTTCATATATTGCTGAGCCAACATCCGTATGGATTGATGATTTTTTTCATTGGTTAAATCCGTCATTGGAAATGTGTTGTAGATTTAAGAAAGGAACAGATCAAAAAGAATTGTGCGATGAATATGATGATGATAATGATTGTGAGATTTGTTTTAAAGATCGAGAACCACAATGGAATATTACAATGTCAGGAATGCCACAAGGAGAAGAATTTTTAAAATATTTGGGATTATGGTTAAAATCATCTCCGGATGAAAGTTGTCCTTTAGCCGGAAAAGCCGCCTATGGAGATGCGATTGTTCGCGATTTAGAAGATATCACAGTTAAAACAAGTCATTTTCGTACATTTCATACTCCATTAAAAAGTCAAAATGATTATATTGCAGCCTATCATTCAGCACATAGAATAAGCGAATTAATAAATGAAGAAAATCCTTCAATACAAGTGTTCCCATATTCAGTATTTTATATATTTTTCGAACAATATGAATATATTATAAGTTTAGCGGCAGAAATATTCTTTTTGGCATTTGTTTCAATATGGTTTGTTACTACATTACTACTTGGAAGTGCGTGGACGGGTTTTATTGTAGTATGTCATGTTATAATGATTATTACCAATGTATTAGGAATAATGGCGTTGTGGGGTGTATCATTAAATGCAATTAGTTTGGTGAATTTGGTAATATGTGTTGGTATCGGAGTGGAATTTTGTGTGCACATAGCAAGAGCATTTATTGTAGGAGGTGAAGGAGTTGATAGAGAAGAGCGAGCGTACAGATCAATAGTTGATGTGGGAAGTTCTGTGTTATCAGGAATCACACTGACAAAGTTTTGGGGAATTCTAGTATTAGCGTTTACAAGAAGTAAAATATTCGAAGTATATTATTTTAGAATGTATGTGTCAATGGTAATATCAGGTGCATTTCATGGTTTATTGTTATTACCTATTATTTTAAGTTTAATTGGTGGAGAAGGTGTAGGAAGTGGCGAAGATTTTGATTATGATGTATTTGAAGATGAAGAAATGTTTGGTGGTCGGCCTATCAGAAGCGCTGATAATAGGATGTTAGTTGATGACGGCGGTATTGAAAGTGGCGAGAGTGATGCTGAAGAATTATGATCTTTTTATATTTTGTAGAGTGTATAATATTTGTATATGTGGTATTATTTTTATATATATAGATAACCTTGCGTTTAATATGTTTATTTATAAAAATTATTTTTTTAGAATTTAAACTAAATTTAGATCCCGACATTTTATCGGTTTTTAATTTTTAAATTCGTTAAGTTTTTATCTTCACACGCTCACGCATGTATGTGTAACATAAACACAAACTGTAGTATAATAAAAAAATATCTTGTATTAAATTTAGCTTAGCCAATTAAATTGTTCCATAACGAATCAACATGATAACTGATAAGATCGTGTTTATGCTTATTCTTCAAGATTTCATTTTCTTCGTGTTTTCTTCATTCTTCTGATACTATCATTTTTATATAATTTTGACTGATAACAGAAAACCATTCAAGCTGAAGCCTATTTTAAACTCTTTACTGTAATATCGCAGACGCCATATAGAACGCGTAATAAGTTCTTAAGGCAAAATGGGCGCAGCTAAAATAGAACGTTCTATTTCCCCATGTTCACAAGCTTCTCCAACGAATCCTACCGTGGGTTCTGCTACCTCCTACTACTCTCCAGCAATGGATATGGATCCAAAGGACATGCCGGAAACAGCTTTTGTGATCGCTTTTTGCGTCAAGTTCAGGAGCGCCATCAACAACATCTCATTCTGGCCAGAGGTATATATTGTCAGCTTTAATTTTCATAAAATATTATGAGGTCAAAAAATTTCTGCAGTTTCTTATAAAAAAAGTTGCTAAAATCGGTGAAGAATGTATGTAGTTTATTTATTTTCCTTTATTTATGTTGTAACGTTTTTGTATTTTTTATGTTTATATATAATAGGATTTAGACGAAGCGATTTGTTGCAAAGAGGGTCCTAATACTCTCATAGAGTCATTACACAAAGCATTTATACATAACCTTGAGGTGAAAAAAACAAGGACCTCGTATGTATAAAACTTTACTATACGTTTTGTTAATTTTCTATCTAAAACTGCATTTTTTTTATTATGTAGATGGATTAGAAGGCTCGCTAAATTGTTAAATGATTGGCGAGAGAGGGGCAATGATTTCTTTACCGATCACAATCCAATAGAGCGAGTAAACTACGATTACTATGGTATGAGTAATCGAGACAAGGTAATTTGGCTGATTCGGAGAAGAAAATATGAATTCCCTATTCAGTTATTATCGTTAATTTGTCTTTTTCATGATATATTAATAACGATACCTATTTTTTAATAGGTCATGATAATGCAAGTCCTCGTGAGCTGGCAACTTGCGGAGTCACCCGAAATAAAGAGAATCAGAAAAGAGCATAATGAGATAATAAATGATGACGATGTAAGGCCTTTAGAAGTTGAAGTCCTAGGTGAAGACACAAGCGGATCCCGATATTATTATATTGGGAGTAAGTATTATTTTCGTGGACTAACAACACAGTGTGTTAGTTAACTTGGTATGCTTATATTTTTTTTATAGTTGGAGTCAGAATTTACCGGGAGTCAATGATCTCAGGGCGTGCAAAATGGGAGACTGTCTCTAGCACGGTCGAAGAATTAAAAAAGTTCATTTTCGACTACCAGGGCATTGATCCGAACAGGTCGGATCGAGAACGAATTTTATATAATAAACTCGTTACTACTGTATTGCCATATCTCGAACCCTTGGAAAATGTGAGTATCTTTTAGTAAATGATGAAATATTGTTTGGAATATATTAATAATACTTATAATGTAGGAAAGAAAGAGACTTAGGGAAAATATCTTGCATAAAGTAGAACGTGATAGAGAAATCCGCTTAAAAAAAATAGAAAAAGACCACAATGATGCAGAGATTCTTCTGGTGAGAACCCGTTCTCAAGCTAAACAATCTGTACATAAAGAAGTGAGAAATACAACAGGTTACCTTGAGATCATTAAGAATCCCACTGATCTCGCTATCGTTATCGATGATAAAAAAGTCGTGGTGAATACTTCTTTGGATTATGCTAATGGCACTATCAAAGACCCTGAAAGTCCAACCATGGTGCAAGAAGCCGTAGAAAGTAAAAATTTCATTAAAGAAATCATGAATCCCATAACGAGCAATGAAAACAAAAATTTTGTTGCGATCGAAAATGATATGAACCCCACTAGCATGCAAAATGCAGTGAAGAAAGATAATGATGTTAAGGGTCTACTAGACAAAGTAGATATTAAAGAATCTGTAGAGAGTAAGGGTTCACTTGGAGATGTTACTGTTGCAGATACCCTTGCTAATGAAGATATGTCGGACTACGATGATAAACTCCCAAGCAAGAGTGAACAAAGCGAGAGATCAACAGAGTCCCGCTGTGAGGACAATTCAAATTCAAAGATGAATCTTTCATCGATATTAACTGAAGAGGTCTCTAGAGAAGCAGAAAACGTTGAACAGCGCTCGGAATTATCAAAAATGGCAATTTCTAATATTTTATCAAGTGAAAGCTCAGATGTTGTTCATACAGATAATAAATATTTTGATGAAGGGGAAATAGACAATGAAAATAATAAACACGAAAATCCAATGTTCGAACAACATAGAAATGGTAATTTGGTATATACCATTGTCCAAAAATCTAATGATAAAGAACCTAAAGAAAATAAAAAAGTCGCACCGGTTGCTGTCGTCAAGGAGCAGAATGGGGAGCGGAATGGGGAGCAGAATGAGGAGCAGAATGAGGAGAAGAATGAGGAGAAGAATGAGGAGCAGAATGAGGAGAAGAATGAGGAGAAGAATGAGGAGCAGAATGAGAAGCAGAATGAAGAACAGAACGAGGAACCGTATGATGAACAGAATAATGAGAAGAAAGGCAGTAATACTCCAATTGTCAACAACGATACGGTAAGGACTCCATGGGCCCCTGTGGTTAATAAAAATCGAAAGGGAAAAACCGTAGAAGTTATTGACGACGCACTAATTGAGCCCAAAACAAAACGGGCTTTTGTTCCTGATGCAGAAACAATGATCAAATTAGAATGGTCGTTAAACCACCCTGTATTTAGACTCGACGAAGAAGTATTTGGTGAATCTACCGATACAGATTTATCAGATTGTTGTCCAGACTGCGCAATGGAAATAGATTAAGCAACGAGGGAATGCATTTCTTATTAAAAAAAAACAAAAAAAACCAGAAAAAAACAAAAAAAAAACAAAAAAATAGGAAATGACAAATATGGCACCCCTTGAACAATTTTGGTTTGGTTTTCAACTTCTTATATCAGTAATGATTTAGCAGTAATGGACTTATAGTAAATTTGAAATTTATCTTTTAATATTTTTTTTTTTAAAAAAAAAGAAATTTAATTTTCTTTCTCATTTTTTAAGAAATATGTACATACAAACAATTAAACATTTCAAGAACATTTGATCTTAAATGAAATTAAAATATTTAATAATTTAAATACTTACAACCGAGAAAGATCCGAGAAAATTAAGAGTTTGTTGATTAAAAGCCACGAAAGGATTATTAGCGAAAGATCAGAGACACTGAAAGCAACATGAGTAGAAATTTAAATTTAGAATCAAAAGAGCCACATTCGATGAGGGAAGGACTTAAACTAACAACATCTTTAATGCTCTAATAACATTTAACGGCATCTTGAAAATCATGAAGAAAGCTGAGATCAATTGACAATAATAGAAAACTTATCTGCAATTTGTTCTGGTTGAATGTGGATCAATCTATTTTTTGGAAACTACAGTAAGAGGGGGGAAACTCATTGCACATTTTTCTTTTCTATTTCAAATTTGTCATGTTCCCAATTATGGCGTTAGCGTTACGGTATACGTCAAAATTATTTGAAATGCTGTAGCCGTAAAAAAAAAATTATGGCATTACAGCAAAAAATATTATGCTGGATCATTGATACATGTGCATAATTATGTCCTTCAAGCTAATGGTAGACAATTTTCATTTAAATGAAATCACGGGGAACCGATTCGACATGATCTCGTTTTATTTTATATTCTAATTTTGGCTTTTAGTTAATAAAATACCAATTTATTTTGTTGTAATATGTGCGGAATGAATAAGAATTTTACTATACTGTAATTTATTATTTTTGATTTGAATACTTATGGAAGTTCATATTGCACTCACAATTTAAACGGATAGAGTCGATCATTTTCCAAATCCGAAATGATACAGGCAGAATATTCTGGGACAAACTTTTTTAATGGAAAAATCCGTACAAACATCAAATTATAGTAAAGTAAAAATGAATTGTTAGAAAATTAATTTAAAGTTGTAAATAAAAGGAATAAAAATTAAAAGAATCATCCGTATTTAGAAGTTGCATAAATTACGTTTTTTGAGCCGCAAGATCGAGTATACGAATTTATTAAATAAAGGAAAGAGTTCGGAATATCAATTTTAGATAGGTAGGAGGAAAATTTCGTATTTTGTTACAATATTATCAATTTTAATAACCTTTTAAAGGCGTATATTGGGAGCTTTTCCTAATCTAATTTTAATTTTAAATTTATGTTTAATCGATAAATAAGTAGAATCGATATTGTAAATTAATTGTGTCGAAAGCGTATATTCAATTTGTTATCAATAAAGTATTCATTATTATTTCCGTTAGATGCTGATATAGAAAGATCATTAGTTATCAGGTATTATTCTTTCATTAAAGTTTTTTCATATTTATTGTTCTTAATTCATGATATTCTATTAATCAACAAAAATTTTTTTGATGTTTAATTTAAGAGTAACGCTAATGGAATTTCCGAGACCAAGAGTCGGGAGAAGATTTACTGAATCTTCCTGTTTAATTTATCAACGAAAGGTGAATGTAATTAATTATATAACGAATGATTGGTACTGATATTTTAAATCATTTTCTTTCGATTATTTGATCTAATCCTTGGTTGACGAGATACAACAAAATAAGTTCTATCACATCCTGCTTATGATTGCGGTAAATCAAGTGTTTCTATTGATCTTGGCCTTGTGATCTCTAAAGTACGATGGAACTACAAAAAAATTTTCTTTTTGTTGTATGTTGATAATATTGTTATCATATTGTTCGTCTTTTTTCGTCACTATAAAATCGTCTTTATTATTTCATAAAGAAAGATATTTGTATTTCCTTTGCAAATATTGATTTATAATACTCCCGATACTGGTTTTATCGGCTCATAAGTATTCTTGTCGAATGATTCTTCTCTTGATGAGGTACTTTGTTACTCAATTTTTGATCCGGTAATTAATTTTGGTCCTTTATTGTTAATTAATGACATATTAATAAAAAATTGAAAAAAAAGAACAAAATGGTGAAATCGAAAATAATTAATAAAGTGTAATTAAATACTTGAATAAAAACATGCTTTGGAAATAATTTTGTAAGTCTTTGCATTCTTTTGAATCTATTTTTCTTTCTTTTAATTCAAACTTTGATTTTTTATAAACGATGATAAACCTATTTACTATAAACATAAAGTTATATTACGCTTATATTATTTCATGATATCCAAATTCTTCTTCAAGTAAAAGATAAATGATCGCTCACCTTTCACCTAAAATTCAATTTAACTTTTCTAATTTTAACAAGATTTCTCTTTTTCATACTATTGCTATGTAATAATAGAGTTAAATAACGTAAAGATTTTTGTAGGTAATAAAAGGAATTATACATTATATTTAATAAGATGTAATTATTTTAATAGTTATTATAAAATATATAATTTTATAATTTTGTATATCTTCCTTTTTGTTGCTATTTTTAATAGTTTCTTGATCTTCTGGTATAATTACGGTCTCTTCTATCATTCCCTTTGCCATAACTATACCTTTTAAACTCATTATATTTACGTTTATCATCATCACTATGATAATATGGAGAATGACGACTACGAGATCGTGAACGAGCATATCTTATACTTGGAGAACGGGAGCGATGCCGTATTACCGGAGATCTATGCCACGAATCTCTTCTTGGAGATTTAGAACGAGATCGATGCGGTAACGCATCTCTCTTTGGAGATTTAGAACGAGATCGATACTGTAACGCATCTCTCTTTGGTGATTTGGAATGTGAACGGTACCGTATATCTCTCTTTGGGGAGTTAGATCGAGAACGATATCGTCTCATATCGCGTTTTGGTGAAATTGAATACGAGTATGGTCTAGGTTCTCCACTATGATCTCGGTTACCTGTATGATCATCATCTATTTTATGATAACGACTTCGTCCGCGAATTGATTCATTGCTTGCATCATCATATTTTGAAGGGGATACACTCAAATCACGCTTTGATCGTTTACTGTGCTTTTTCTTGCTACCATGGTGTTTATCCTTCTTATTTTTCCTTTGTTTTTTTTCTTTGTTTTTTTTCTTTGATTTCTTCCTATCTTCTAATTGAATCGTTGACACTTGCATACTCTCCGCCATATTGTTACTATTCCAACTTGTAGTTGAAATACCTTTATCTTCTGGAACTAATCTTGTATCGTCTGGAACCATCTCACTAATTGATAATCTTCCCGAACTTTGAAATGAATATAACAGGATTAATATTTTAAATATTTAAGAATATACAAACGACTCAATTTTCACCTCTTAAATCCTTTAGTTACTTCTTGAATAGTTTCCTTAAGATCATCACCTTCCTCATCTTCTTGCTGTCTTTTCAAAACATTAGTGAGTTCCTGTTGAGTAACATTCCCTGTAACTACTCTTCTTTTACCACCTCCTCTTTGTATATATTCATTATTTAAAAATTAACAATATTTGAATAAGAAAAATATTCAAAATTTTTATTCCAAATGATTCACTGTAAAACTTACAATAATTCGGCCATAACATCAGCCTCAGCTTCTTTAATTGCCCTGATTTCTTCCATACGTGAATCATCTTTTTTCCCTTCTTTAGCATACCATGTAAGATCCTTGCCTTGTTGCCATCTTCCAACTGGTGCATGTAACGAATGTCCAAGATAATTCTCTCTATGTTTATCGGTCTTCACATCACTAATATTTATTTTAATTAAAATTATTACAATTTTATACATATTTACTATCTAAATTTCTCGAATAAGACTTACTCCCCTATAAGTTATTAACGAAAAAATTTGTTAGGACAAGCTTATTTGAAATAAAAATATTAAACAATATTGTTTTTACGTACAATTGAACTGATCCTAATTTTATATGGAATAAATAATTTTGTTACCGTTATAGTAATAAACTAATAGCAATTTCTTCACCTACCCTTCCGCCTCGAACGCCGCCACGTGGGGGATGATACATGCTTCAAAAACTTAAGTGAGCCGTTAATACGTTTACTTGAAAGAGAAAATCAAAACCCACATTTATTTATAGTTTTACTAAAAATCTCATGTGATACGCCAAAGAATTTTTATTATACGCCGCGAATCACATGCGTGGCAACAATCAACAAAATTTTATACACATTAAAAATATCCGCAAGAAAAAAAAGTAGAGGAAAAATAACATGATTGGACAAATAAATTCAAGTTATACAAGGACTAGCCATCAGTCAACGTATTCAATATTTATTTAGACTATCTATATTTTAAGAATGTTTTATCTATCATTAATGCTTGCCAAACATCATCAATTATCGATCTTGGACCCCCAACAGAAAAATTTCGTTCACTCTCTAACATTTGTGATTTAATATTGCATAAAATACGAAATGCAATTACCCAACAAACTTGTCCATCCGGTTTTTTACTAAACGAAGAGAGATAGAGCGAAGCAGCTTTCAATTGTAACTCGAAAATTGAAAGTGGATCTTCACGAATAGTTGATTTTCGGTCTTTCAACGATCTTAAAATACTACTTTTATATTTTTCAATTGGCGGCGTGTTTAAAAATTTTGTTAAGCATTCGTAATCAATGCCTTTAAGTTCTTCATTTAACTTATATTGACTTGGTCGTTGTTCAGTTTCTTTTCTATCCCGATCACAGAATGTTTGAGCATATTTTTTATTGTAATTTTGGGCTATTTGTAAAGCATGCGTTGAAATAAGGTTCAAATCTTCCACATATAAACTTTCTTCCATTTGTTGAGCACGAGTCAGTTCATTATACCAGAATTTATAAATATGTGGATCTGGTCCTCTTTTCATTTCCGTTACTGAAAAATCTTTGCTATTCACTTGATTCATCTCTTTTTCAATCGAGAAACATAATATATCCATCATACTTTTAACTCCAAAGTTACCTCTATTGGTGCCTTCTTGCTTTTTGATGTTACATCGATCCTTAAAACTATTGTGATCTTTTCCCATCCAATAAGGAACTGAAAGTTTTCCGAATATCTCACTATCTCTTTGTTGAACGCTTGGTCTGATAGTAAGTCCTTGCTTAGTAGCATCGATAAGTTGTGCACACATTTGAGCAAGATAAACTGACTCTTTATTGGGAATCTCGAATTCGGAGGATTGAAGTTTATGCCAATAATCATAAAGACCGCGTGGTGTTTCTAGGTCTTTAAAATAATTATCCAAAATAATTTCTTGTAACTTAGATCCAATTTGGCTGGAATCCGAAGAAGATAACAAGTAATCTATACTTTCTTTATTTTCTTCAAACGCATTTTTGACTCTTGAATCGAGTGGTAAAAGTGGGGAGTTTTTGTAACCTTTGACAATTTCCGAATCCCAACAGCAAAAAATCTATAAAATATAATATGTGAGAATGGGGGAAAAAAAATCTACAGGAAAAAAAAGATTTACCTTATCACCATCATAATCACCTCCACTTAAATGAGTTGCTAATGGAACATTGTCTTTCAAATCAACATTTACAGGAAATACAACAACATTATGATAATCGCACAAATTCGCATTTTTGACCGCTTTGACTTTAACGATATCGGAAGGTAAATTGCATGGATTCCTAGCCAAGATCACTTCACCTTCAATAATTCCAAATGGCAATCCAGTACTTTCATCACGTCCTGCTCCGCTATTTAATTGAATAAAAACTTCTCCCGGGTTTAAAGTTTTTGTCGGGTCGGCAATACAAATTAAAAAGCGAGACGAAGGAATATTTATTCGATACTTAGTAAAAAGCGATTTTAATGTTGAAGAAAGTACAATTTTTAAATTTTTTGCCAGATAAGGACATGTTGAAGGTGTGAATCCTGCCTGTAACATCTGAATACATTTTTCAGATGGACTATTTGGAAATCCCGACATGGCATATATCTCAGATCCTAAATCCATTGATGAATCTATTTCATTATTTTCATCATCTGATTCATCCTTGAAATGATCGTGCAAACGCTCTAATCTTTTTCTCATGACATTAGTATTTTTTGTCATCCAAGCTATTAAAGCGCGTGGATCATCACATCCAACAACCTCAGATTTGGTTTTTTCAATATAATTTTTCATTTTTGTAAAAAAAACACTAACTGATACTCCACCATTAGCTAAAACCATAATGAACTGACTATTTAGGGCACCAGGAGATGTTGGTGAGCATGCGACGTGTAAAACTTCTAAAGTTCGTAAGTGAACAAAATTACTATCAAAATTATGCTTATACTTTATTTGAGATTCACGTATTTCAATCCACTTATTGCCACTCAAGTCTTTGTGTGGGTCAATATACCAAACGCCTTTTGCACCCCCAATTCTGCCTTGGATTGCGGAAGGAGTTTCATGACATCCCAAAATTTCACCTACTTCTTTCATAGCAGCTGGAGATATTGCAGCGCATCCATCAGTGTAACAACAACCATTGATTGTAATATCTTTAACATATCGGATTTCTTTTTGTTCAAAGATGATCGAAGGTGTGGAATTAGAAAATCCTAATGATATACGAGAGAAAAACTTCGTAGCTGTCATATTTTTGTTGATCTCTATTGGTAAATTATAATTAATCGCTTGCCAAATTGAAATATGATCAGGAATGTCTAACCCACTTGTTGCAAAAAAATATAGCTTATCAGATTTAGCGTATAAAAATTCATATATTCTTCCCGCCAACGATAGAGGAAATAACAGAAATTTTTTCAATCTTAGCTTTTGATTATCATCCAAGTGATTGATATCCTTAACCTTTAAATGTAAAAATCTTTCGGATGATAACATTCTATAATATCTTTTGGAAGTACCTAACTTGGGAGGATTTAATGTTAAGATCAACTTATTTTCTTTAAGCATAACATTTCCCGAATATAGAACGTGGACTCCGGAACCAATTTTTGGAAATTCCTTTGAACTTAAAGACCATACATTGACGAGATTACGGTTTATTAGCCTTGTCATCTCAACAAAAGCGTTCACATTTGAGAGAGTTGAAAAGTAATCTCTGCAAGCTTCACGCAAAACTTCATGAGTCTTTACACCACAGTTAATTCTAATATTGTTCCAAAGATTATTTGTTGGTTCAATCGGTCCGAATGGTTTTAAAATTCGAATAATCTCAAATTTATCCAAAAAAGTTTTTCCTTCGACATAATTTTCATATTCTCCTGGCATTTTAGTAGATAAGTGATTTTTTGTAATCCAAGGATTTTCAATTGGAGATTTTGATATCGATGCTAAAGGTGAAGATGGAAGATTTTTACTTATTTGACTAAGCGAACATTCCCATTCTTCATCCTCGTCACTAAATGATAAGTTGGCATAAGCCTTGACCAGCTCTTCCATAAAAATTTCGCGTAATTGTATAATGTTCTTTGAAGTTATTTCATCAAGCCTATTGTTTTTTATGAGTTGGTTAACTATATCATCAAGCAAATTAGGGTCAACTCTTGCGATTTCGTTCATATAAGTCCTTTGTTCGCTCGTAACAAATGGTTCGTTTGAATTTATACGGCCATGAATATTTTTTGTAGCCTTTTCAAGCCGACGCGTATATTTCAATACTATCTTGTGACTATCCTCCAATTCATATTCATCAAGAGAAGATATCGATGTATATCCGATGCTCATTGCTTTTAAAGAAAAAAGGACTATAATAAAAAATTTAAAGCATAAAAAAATTTATCGGTTAGTTGAGAAGTCGGTCGAAATCATTGCTTTTTTATAAAAAAAATATGGGTATAATAATGATAATGATATAATGCAAAAAAGTCTGAATTGCAAACAAGATAACAAAAAATAAATTTAAATTTTTCACACGATTTTGTGATAATCTCTTAAGTACGGATGTTATATGAACTGTTTATGATCATCAAATAAATGATCGACAATCCGACCTTTCGGTTTCCTATATTAGTAAGTATTTGGTTCGATTTTTACTTAAAAGAAATAAAAATTTCTGTTTTTATCGAATTGCTCGCTTTTCTTTTTTCTTTTATATACTGTATGTATAAATAAATTAAGTTTTATTCAAAGCCGTAAAACTTTGAAGATATTTTAAACATTTAAATTAATTTTAAAATTATTTTTTTTTTTATTTATTTATATTTCATTTATTTATCTTATTTACTGTATTTATTTTTTCAAAACTTTATCATAATATATTCTGTAATTATACGAAATAATATATTATATTACGTGCTACCACTTACCACCCAGATCAACCAGATAAATTATCATTCATGATTATTGATATTCCCACGGATGATTTATTTAAAAATTTATCATGATTTAAAAAGTTATCTAAGAGTCACATGTGGGAATATCAAGATTTTACGACGCAGCCATGAATATCCACAATTTCCCCGTGAAATAAACTCAAATTAAATTGAATAGGAATAAGACTAAACAAATTCAATTAGTTTTTAATACAAAAATAAAAAGAATTAGAAAAAAGAAAAAAGTGAATAATATTTTTCAAGTTTCTGAAGAAGACTTTGATAGAAAAAGATGGTCAGTATTTTCTAGAGAATTTGAAGAAAATCTAAATAAATCTGTATTATATTTGATTCTATAAACACAAAATCTTTTCAAAAAGGTTTCTATAATAATTAAAAACAACTTTCACACCAGTAATATAATTTTTAAGGCGTTATTTTTATCCATGTCAGTTTTTGCACTCTTAAAATTTTTTTTCCCAATTAGGTCTTCTTTTCGCCTTGAGCTGTTTGTAGTATTTTTTACCCCCACTTTGCTTAATCTACAAATAAAACATAACATCTCAATATAAATTCACACTAAGGAAGTTGATAAGAACCCGATTTACAAACCTCTTGAATCTCGGAAAATTTTCTTTTAAAGTAGCGTTTAGATTGTTCATTTGTCAGAAGTTCATCCGCTATTGTTTGTCTTCGTTCTTTTCGCGGTATCCTGGAAGAGTAGAATTCTGCCGGCCCTTCTTTTATCGTACCGATCTTTCAAAAAAAAAAATGTTAAGTTGAACTATTATAATAATATTAAAAAATTAAAATTTACCTCAAAATATTTTGGTAGCCCTTTTGAATCATCCTTCTTGTAAAATCTTTTTGGATCCAATACATTCCTTAATTTAATAATTTGGAGATCACGCTTTATCTCAGGTGTAATTTCAGGTTTCTTCATATCAAACCATCCCGGTCCAGCTGTTGATTCGCGTATCTAAAACAAATTGACCGTTAGCATTTTCGTTCGAAATTAAACTAACATGGAATTTTTTAAATTTCAAATGGGTCAGTGTAACTATGACTATTAATAAATCTAACACTACAGAATAAACCCCAGTACGGAGTCATTTAACTGCTCTAGAGTTAATAGAATTGTCATCATAATGATTCTTTCCTGTTTTCCCCAAAAAAAAATTGACATACTCTTTGTTTTTCTTTCTTACTAAGTTTTGCATATGAATCTTGATCATTATCATCAGTTGTAGATGCGGTTTTAGACGAAGATTGTACCGTTTTATTGGAAGTTTTATGCTTCTTCGATGAACCATCTTGACTTATTTCATCCTGCCGTAGCGTGACAATACCCCCAGGATGCCTCTTGATATATAGTTGTTCATCGATTGAAACACCAACATTCAAACTTGGGAAGCTACAAGACATAATGAATTATTTTGACAATTATGTTACGAAAAATTGTTTCAGCAAATACCTGAATTCGTTCCACACCTTATTGTCACTAAAATTAAAGATAATAGATAAATGATTTATATAGATTATAATTAGATAATATAATACAATTTGTTAATATCCATAATATTCACTTTTTTGCACTTTGATTTGTCCGTAAAGATTCTTCGGCTTTTTTTAATAATAACGACTCCATCTCCTCTTCGTTTTTACTATCATCGTCGTCCTCACAATCATCGTTTATGGAAATTTCATATTCCTGTTGCCTTATGTCTTCCTCACAACCGTCATTTATGGCATTTTCATCTTCCTGTTGCTCTATATCTTTTGCACTATCGTTACATTCTTCAGATTTCTGAATTTGTTCTTGTTCTGGCGCAGCTTTCTGTTCTTGAGGTTGTTCAGGGAAACCGCTCTGTCCTGTAAGGCTGCTATTAGCCTGCGCTGTATCATCTACTTTTGTTGCAAGTTTAGCAGCCATTTTTCGAGTTTGTGAACGTGTCTGCATTCTTGCAATTTTTGAAAAGAACTTTCATATAGATAGATTATCGGTAGGTTAGATAAATTCTACACAATCGGGATAGTATAGCCGATCATCTAGACACCGACAACATTTCCGAGTCGGTAAATCTTTTAGTCTAAATGACAGATTTTTATAGATTTGATCTATATTGATTTACTAAAAAAAACAGAATCTTTTAGTCTAAATGACAGATTTGATTATATTGATTTATTAAAGTTGAAACAAAGTGAAGTAAAAAAAAGGTAATCAAAAAAAAAATTTTTAACTCTTGAATGCTCTGATAATTTATTACAGATTATTGTAAATTTGATTTTTATTCAGGGACGATGATACTGTTGATAGTAAAATCTATATATTTAGTCTTAACCTTCTTTATTTTTATTACCTTCATTAGGTTGTAATGCAACAAAATCTCTTGTCAATAAATTAAACGTGCTCCCAAAGAAAAGCGCAATAACCGTGCACGTTAATGTTATAACATTATACGGCATGCTAAAATCTGGTGTAGGAAGACTAACAAGGAGTGTTTCTGTATAAACGCGGATAAAGAAATGGTGACATGTTGCTTTTGGAATGTCTTCAGAGCAATTTCTATGTGTAGGAATTTCATTCCTTATTTTAAAAAAAACTTCAATGGAAATAATATAATGAAATGACATTACTTGAATTATAAATTACCTTGTCATAAAATCGTGCAAGTGGTTGAAACCTTCACCTATAGATGATATTACCGCAGAACCAATGTCAAAGCCACGGTTTGCATCCGGTGGATGTTCGGTATATTTTAAAAACACTTTGTCAAAATTAATTGACAGAGTCGTTATGGAATTAGGTGGTAACAATAATTCCGCTTCAATAACATTTGGCCGTGAACGATCCACAGCTGGCTGATAATACAAATCTTTTATGGGACTTACAGGACTATCTATTTAATAAATTTATTTAGAATGATTTAATTTATTTAACAATAATATCTTTTTAATTCTCAATACCTCGCACTTCTTCTCCATTTATTTGTACTTTTAACGTATGAAGATATAATTTCAAGAACCATGGTATAACATCATAATATATTATTGGCACAGTCATATTTGTACTTTTGTTAAATATATTAACTTTAATTCCACCTCGTTCTTGGCCGTAACCTATGAATTTTTTTTTAAAAAAAATTAGCTAAGTTTGCATATATTATTAGATAGACTATAATGATCACCTGTAAAAAAACGATGTGCATAAACACGTGGTTGTTCATAATTAAGATCTAAAAAAAAGGAGTTGTCAAATTGTATCGGTGGTAAAAGAAACCAAAAACACTGGTTCTTACTATATTTGAATACATCTTCATTCCATGTCATTGAAATATCAGTTTCTAATTGTACTGTAAAGGAAAAAGTTATATATTAATTGACATTATTTTAGTTGCATATAAAAACTATTTACTTACAAGTTTTGAGATTGTATAACGCAATAGTGGCATCGCCGTCATTTTTAGTAACATCATCCACAGCTGGACTTAGTTTATAATCACCGTTTTCGGATAATATTACTTCCAATTTGCTTTCTTCGGCCAAAGGACAAGCTTGTGAAAGTCGTCTTCCAAAAATCTGATCCAAACTCCAATCTTATAATATAAATAGTAAAGAAATTAAAGAAGTTCAATTAAAGGTTACACCTGTAACAAGATAATTTAACGGATTACCGACCCCTTTTCCCTGAATTTCTTACGGGATCCACAACAGCAGATACAGTCTGAACAATTTCTAACTGTCTATCCAGACATTCCAAATCCTATTTTATTAAAATGAAAAAGAAATATGAAGATTTAAAGTCACTCTTAAGATAAAATCAATTCATTTTATTTCATACCTGACATACCGGCCGCACGTGAATGGACATTGAATGAAAATTAGAATCATACAGCTTGTGCCCATTCAAAAGTGATGCTATTCCAGACTGATTTAAAAAGAATTAAAAAGGTAAAACAAATAATAATTATTTTGGATAACTAATAAATATCTAACTTACTGTTGATTTACACGGAAGAAGTTTAATCCATGGTGTCAAATTTTCTGTACAAACATTCTCATGAGGTAAGGATCCATATCTCAGTTCAGCACGCGCAGATAATTCCGTAGCTATATAATGAATAAAAATCTATTCAATGTGAATTTATTTTTATTTGACCTTGTTGAAAAGATAATTCTATATGAAGGCGGACCATATTATGATTAGATCTTCACCATTATACAGTCCTTCTGGTCGAAATGATAATTTCGGTTGAACAGTAATCGTATCATCTATAAAATTTAAAGAAGCACAGAAAAGGCCGGCAAGAGCATTTGTCAGTGATTTCCAATTTTTATCCAACCTAAAAACATGATAAGAAATCGAATTAATACATTTCATCAAATAACAGGAAAAGAACATCGTTTTAAAATGGCTAACGTACTTTCCATCCTTCCATAGCCATGCCCAAAGCTCTACTCCGGTTCCCGCTGACGGTACAATAGGATAACCCCAATCTTCATAATTCCATCGTCCTTGAGTAAACGTCAAGTGCAATTCGCGCGCGTTATAGCTCTGAATGATTTGACCTATTGCGCGCGGAAAGAACTTATAATGGCTGACTGAAAAAATATTCAAAATAAAAAATCAATTCGTAAAATTGCTGCATACAAAAAAAGAGATTTTGCATTCATACAAGCTTTGCCTTCCTTGATCTCACTAGTTCTCACATTGAATTGAAAATGGGTCAATAATTTTCCGTCTGAAAGTGGTTTTATCGTAAGTGATTCTTTAAAAATATCATTATGTTGATAATTCTCGACAAATGTAAATAACAAAATAAAAAATAAAAAGCGACCGAGTTGCCACATTGCTAACAGATAACTGTTATAGGCTAAATCTTTGTTCTATTAAACTTCACATGTACCTGCTAAATTCGAAATTTGTGACACCCTTGATTATTCATTTACGAAATTACGTCATTAGTATTTTCTTAATTTTACGAAGTTTTTTTCCTGGTACAAGAATGTCTGATCAATCTTCCTCAAAAATAATATCTGAAACTATATCTAATACCAGCAATGAAAGTGGCAATAATTTTGGATTTATCGAGAGTGTAACAGATATTAACAATCGTAAGGACAATTTAATCAAAACTGAAAGTAATATTGAAGAAGAGACTTCAACTTTCAAGCGTAATGATGAATGGTTTTGGGACACTAATTCAGAACAGATATTTGCACAAGATAGTAAAACAATAATAGCAGTGGGTCATGCTTCTGTTAAATCAATAGTTCCGCTTGAACTTTTGCGCCATATTTATCTTCCCCAGAAACCACACGATCGTATATTTGATCCCACAACAAGAACCATTTCATATCTTCAACCACGATCATATTTACCTGTCAATTCATTAATACAGGGCGAAAAGAAACGAATTCTAGTAACTGGAGGTGCTGGTTTTGTTGGATCTCATTTAGTAGATAGATTAATGTTAATCGGACATGAAGTTATTGTACTCGACAATTTCTTTACCGGGCGCAAAAATAATCTTGCTCATTGGATTGGACATCCTAATTTTGAATTAATTCGTCATGATGTGGTCGATCCTTTTTTGATTGAGGTAGATCAAATTTATCATTTGGCTTGTCCTGCTTCACCACCTCATTATCAGTACAATCCCATAAAGACCGTGAAAACCAGCGTAATGGGTACAATCAATATGCTGGGTCTTGCCAAACGCGTTAAGGCTCGGTTTTTATTAACTTCTACTTCGGGCATGTATTTTTTTCAGTTACCCTTTATTTTTATCTTTCAGCGTGTCTTCTGCTTATTATTTTTTTATGAATTGAGGATTCAATAAATTTTCGTGAAGCCATCTTATATTTATAATGTTGAAAAATTTGGTAGAAGTGTACGGTGACCCGGAAGAACATCCTCAAGCAGAAACGTATTGGGGTCATGTCAATCCAATAGGGCCAAGAGCATGTTACGATGAAGGAAAACGAGTTGCGGAAACTTTAACTTATGCTTACATGCATCAGGATAGTGTTGATGTTAGAGTTGCTCGAATTTTCAACACTTTTGGTCCTCGCATGAACGAAAATGACGGTCGTGTAGTGAGTAATTTTATCATGCAAGCTTTAAAAGGAGAAGAACTAACCATTTATGGAGATGGCCTTCAAACGCGTTCTTTTCAATACGTACATGATTTGGTAGACGGCTTGATTTTGTTGATGAATAAAGATTATATGGAACCCATTAATTTGGGTAATCCAGATGAATACACAATTCGTGAATTTGCTGAGCTTATTCGTAATGAAGTTAATAGTTCTAGTAAGATTAAGACTCTACCGGCACCAACGGATGATCCTAAAAAGCGGAGACCAGATATTTTAAGAGCTGAACAAATTCTTGGGTGGAAACCTAGATGGCCAGTAAAACAAGGTATTGGAGAAACTGTTAAATATTTTAAAAGGCAAATGGAGGCCGGTCTTATAGGATAATAGATGATGTTTTATATCAAGCAGATTTAGATTTGTTAAAAAAACTTAGGTAATTATTGTGATATTTTATTTTATTATTTTTATTTATAGGTAAGTTAGTAATTAATTCTATAAATAAATTTATAAAATTACTTTCATTTGATTACAAATAGATGATAAATAATGTAATATCAACCGTTTGATAAATTCTCAAAATATTATTGTGAATCATTACATTTTAAATTTTATTTTTATTGAAAATAAAATTATAGTAATTAACGTTTATAACAAAAAATATCATGCAATTTATATTGTTATTTCTTATTTCCTATTTATTAAAAAATTATTGTTAAAATCAAATTTAAAATAAAAGAAAATAATAATAATCATCTTACCAAATTTTAACCATTTCGGTACTTTATTTGAAGTTTGATTTGTAGAGTGAGCGCGCGAATGTTGTCCTTGAGCCGATTCTCCGATATTTTTCTGGCGCGAAGGTTCAGACAGAACATGGCCACCTTCATTATTGATAGAGGAAGGGACAATATTTGGGGTGAGATTGTCAACAAGCTGATGTGGCATGTCTGTTCTAAGTTTAAGATATTCATCTGATAAAAAGTGTTCAGAATCTATTGAAAACATATATATTTAGTTAACTAAATCTCTCTGACATAACTTCTAAGGATATATTTATGCACCTGATAATTTATCTGTCCAACTGAAATTTACAACTGAGGCGGGTGACAATTCAGCATAATACAAAGATAGAGACATTTCTGTAAGTACTTTTTTTGGAGGACTTGTATCTGTCCAAGTGGATTTAAGTTAAAGATCACATCTTATATTTTTTACAAGTTTGAAAAATAAATCATAATAAGGATACATAGATAAAAAGAGCGCTGCGGAGTTCGCAAAGCTTCTTTAACAAATTCATATAATTCTCCAACTTAAAATTAAATATGAAATTAGTTGAGTTGATTTCATGCATCTAAAAGTATTAAAATTTCGTGGAAATACCTGTTTCTTTGGATAGGAAGGTCATTTGTAATTGAAAACCATCTGGAAATCTCACTCGAATCATTGTCTAAAAAAAAAAATAAAATAAAATAAATGTGAAATTCTTTGAGAGAACTCCAAACGAGTAATAATAAAAAATAAATTCCTACTTTTGGATATTTACGTTCCCTTGCCTTCTCCTCTTGTTCTCTTGCAGCACGTGTTTTAAATCCAGCATTCGCCTCGGCTTTTCGTTTCGAATCTTGCATTACCAATAAGAATTGCAATTCCGGAGCAGTCAATTCATAAAAAGAATCTGGAAGGTCAACTATAAATAATTTACTGTTATTAATATATTATCTATTTAAATAAAAATTTTAATTAACTTTTTATATTCTTACTTTGAGTTGACAATGTAGCATTTTCTGGTGGGGGGTTGAATACTTTAACATCTCTATCAAAGTGCCCAACAACATTTGTGACTGAGCTAGTTTGTGCATCAGAAGTTTGTTCATATTGCGTTATATTAACTTTTTCAACAGGCTCTTGATCTTCCGGACTTTTGACTGTAGAGTCATGAACATCAGAAGATTTAGTATCTATTTCCATTTCGCCCGTCTCCTGTGATTGTATTTCCAACTTTGATTCACCAGGTGTCAAGGATTCCCCAGTTTCTACTGAATTGGTCTGCATATTTATTTCTTTTGCTGATTCAATTGAATTGACCGGTATACTCGTTTCTTCAGTTAATTCAACTGAATTCGTCATATTTGTTTCTTCGATTGATTCCTGTGAATCAACCTGCATATTTGTTTCTTCAATTTGTTCAACTTTTGGAGTTGATATTACTGGTGGTATTGTCGATTGAACTGACTTTTCTGAATTGTTTTCATTAATTACGGCTGATGATTGTATTGGAGTATTTATTTCCTCCAAGACATCATCGAGACTTAATTCCGTATGTCGAAATAAAACACGTAAAAGTATATTGCCGGAAGTAATTCCAGCAGATTGTAAGGATGTCGATTTAAGTAAAGAAATAGTCCCATACTATAATTTAAAATGTTAATAAGAGAAATTTAGCAAAATGGAAGTAACGTTCAAAATAAAAGTTACATACCTCTTTATTTAATAAAATGCACACAGGTTGTTGATAAAAAAGCTTGTTTTGTTTTCCGGCAAATTTTTTCCATACCCCTTTCTTAGATTGTGATACCGGTACTGGGGCCGTTCGTTTTGTAAGGTTCAATGATCTAAATTAGTAAAAGAAGTTGTTAATTTTGGTTCTTTTTGGCGATATTAAAATTTTCTAAGAATATTTACCTGTCCTGGGAAGTATTTTCAAAGTGTAATAATATCTCCCACAAAGTTGTTGTCGACAAAAATTTTTCAACCACCCTTCCTCCATCATCCATCTGTAGAGCAATTGTAACTTCACTATGAGCTGAATAATATAATTTAATTAAATAATGAGCTCAATGTACGTAATTAATGTATTAATGATTAATATCGAATGCTGACTTTCTTTACCTTTTGGTGTTATTCGAATCAATTCGAGTTTTGCCCCCGGAGCAAGATTGGCAAATCGAACAGAAAGAGAAAGATCCAGAATAGTCTTATTCTGTCTATACGTATATCAAAGATCACAACAGGTAGTAAAGTAGGAAAAGATCATTAATTATATTCTTCGCAAATTTCTAGAAGAATCTGAATAATCTTACTTCAATCCATAATTTTCTACATCAGTATAACCTTGCTTATTACATACAAGTTTGATGATCTCTTTTAAAGGCATCATAGGAGTAGTCTTTATTGGTTGTCTTTTTCCCCCGTTCAGGAGTACTACTACGTTAGAGGCCATTTCGTGAACTTTATATTTCTTTAAAATAGTAATCAATAAAACACTAAAAGTGAACTAAATCCGAGTTCTGATCTAATCGGTCTCTATATGAACAGTAAATCTACACTTTCAATCATAACTTCGGAGTCATATTGTAATTTTCGGAGCAAGCATAGTAATACACTAATGTATATTCTAAATGATCTATGTTTCACAATCACTTAAAGCTTATCCAGCTTATCCTGGTAACATCAAATGATCTTCTCTAGCGTTACAAATTAGATATCTCAATTTTGGTTAGAAGGTTCTCACTTCTCAATCCATATATAGTAAAGTACACTTATCTTTACGTAACTAATCTCATGACATAATATCTTTTTGTTTGTTTTTTTTGCGGTAGGTTTTTACGTTTTTAAAATTTCATTTTATGTCTCCGTTTCACTTATAATACATTGCAACATTATTATGTTGACTTCACATCAGACCTTCAATGGAACACAGGTTTTTGTTTGATTTTGAACGCAAATTTTCATAATTTAACTTTGACTTACGCGTTATTCGATTTTTATGTAAAGTGCTCCGAGGCGAAATCGGTGATTTTACTTGTAAATAACGCGTCTAACTTTTCGAGAATAGATCATTATCAATGGCTTCTAAAACGATTATTTCAGCCTCTGAGTCTGGAGAATGATAATGTATGCATTTAAGAGATTTCGAATTTAAATTATTATATTATTATTTTCAACTCGTAATATGTAATTTCATCATATAATAGAGCATTCAAGTACTCCATGTATCGAATACGCCTTTAGCTTCTTTAATACAAAATCAAAATGAGAGGAAAGCAAGCAAAATATATACACCACAGGATTTGCCAGTTTTAAAAACAGATAAAAGCTACAAACTTATGCCCCATTCTCGTATAATCACGTTCAATACAAAATATCGATTTGTATTTCTTTTGGATGTCACTTCTTCTCTGACTACCATTGATTGTAACAGTACAAAAGAAGATATTGTAATGTCTGAAGTGGTGCAAACGTAAGAGGATTTAAATGTTTACTAAAATTAGTTTTACCTAAATAATTTATAAATATACAATGTTTCAGTACTTGTCGTTGTCTAGAAGGGCTTGTCCAGCCATTTATAATTCAAGATTTGGATAATGATATGGCTTTGCAGGTATTTACATAAGTTTATACAAATGGATATTATAGTTCTCATTAAGTTAATTTTAATTAATGATTATATAATACGCATAGTTCGAACCCGAAATATCAATTACCATTATTGCTGAATGTTCTAATTTTGCATCAAATGCAAACCTCATTCCTAAGTTGGCGGAGTTTCCTACAATGAGAGTCCTTTTGCAAGGAGTTGTTGTTAATAGAAATAACGTATCTGATATAATTAATAATTTAAACTCAGAATTTGCTCATTTTCAAGATGAAGTTGCTGAATTTCGACAAAAACTTCGTAGAACTAAATTTCCCGCCACATATGTTATGGAAGTTATGCATGAATCAGATACTAGCGTGTCATACCTAGATAAAATATGGCGGTTAGGATTAAGTGGGGGTAATCTAGCTTACAGCTTAAATGCTGGTTTGATTGCTATAAATTTATTGCCTAACGAAGGATTTCCTGCACTAATTGTAATTACGGATGGTGTTGTTAACTCAAACCTGGCTCAGATGTCACCTGACGACGACATCATTCAACAACTTTGTAAAGAAGGTGTTAGGTGTAATATTATTCAAATTGGACCTCGTGAGGAATATAGTTTTGGGTTGCTTCCTGATAATGAAATATTGCAATTTGTTGCTATGGCAACATCAGGGATTTTTCTTTATTCAGCAGATTGCCCAGATGTGCATGATGTTAAATCTTCAAATGTTCCCTTATCACATAATTTTTATCATAAACATTTACTAATGATTGAAGCCTATTTTACTCGAAAAAGGAGTTCTCCGCGTCAAATTTTTGACGATAACTATAATTTTCCATGGGACCCAAAAAGTCAACCACCAGCGGTCGAAGCCATGTCAACGCGATATCGAGAATATTCCCTTTCGATTGATGTTATGCAACTTATATTCGCTCGTATGCGCAATGGATTTATTATTGAAAGCATAGTTCCAGTGACAGGCAGAAACGTTAATGAAGCTGAAAGGGTTCACATAACAATGACACGTTTTTGGCAACCTAATGTTACAATTCAATATAAAATTAAAGCATTATGGATGGGAGAAGTTTATGGATTTTCAAGACTGAAATCACCAAGAATTGAGATCAATGTTGTAGCTGATACTTTATTTGCAATATATTTGATAAATTTTCAGAGAGCTCAACAAAATAATGATCCTAGTCACCCACTCTTTTTAAAATGTATCAGGCTGCATAAATTCATGACAATGATATACGAAACAGATGAGCTATTGAAGAAGCACGTTTTCCCCAAAATAACTAAGGAAAGTAATAAATTACCATTTCATCGGATTGCGATTGGTAATGGTATTTCTCCGCGGTTGGGAATGTTAAAACAATTATGGGATTCCTTTGAACAAAATCCGATGCGACGTAATACAAACATTTGGTATGATGAAGCCAAATTCGATATTTTAATATCCGGAGAGCCATCATCTACTATTACATCCGTGAATAGGCTATTGGATGATCGACAAGATAAGAATGCTTTCTCAACTTTAAAAGAACGGTTAAAAACTACATGGTCAAGCTCTACATTTTCCGATAAAGTATATGTTAAAACTTTTCATCCTATAGAAGGTGATAAAATTCCTCCAATAAGTTTTTGCGAGCTTAGAATCAATAAAGAATCTGGAAATCTTGTTACTGGAAATTTGTTATTCTTTAACGTTGAAGCGGTTCGACGTCAACAAGTGCTAGAAAATTTAATCAACCTTGTTAATGAACTAAATTCATATGAAGTAAATGAACCATTATTCTACATATGTAGAAGACCTTTATCTTCCTTTCTTATTCGGGATTCAGAAACAGAGACCGAAATTTCGTCAGATAACCGTCATGTTACAGGCCGAAGTTGTATTGTAAAATCTTACTTAAGGCATTGGCGGTGGACTTGGATGTCTGACATCGAACATTATGTTTTTTTAATGGATTATAGGAATATTCCAATCCGAGATTTAGCGTTTCAACGTCTCTGTCAATCACGTTTAGATGAAGGATGTCTACTTATATCCGAAATTAGTAATAAAAAAATATTTTATCAGGAACTGGAACTTAAAGGTAATTCAGATATAGGCACATCCGCTAATCAAGGTAGAATATATGGTGTACAGCATCATATATACAAGGATCTACATACTAGAGAAATTATAACCGAATTATGGATGGAACCTTCGCAGCAGCCTCTCTTAAGAGACCTTTATGAATCTGTTGCTTATAAAATATCAGCAATAGACCGTCAAATATTATCTCAATTAGTGACTTTCGATCAAATACACTATATTGCAAAAACACGCGTGTCACATCGTAGGAATTCATACGGCTTAGCTCTACCTAAGCCATCCCATCTCCCGAGCTTATTCAATCTTCCTGTATTACTCAAATCGAGTGGATTACTAATCGCCAATTATAATATTCCTTCTTTCAAATCTTTATCCAAAGTTAATTTGCAATCTGTTAAACAATCATCATCTATGAACAGTGAAGCCTCTAGTTATGAAGATCTAAGATCTCTGGAGTCAAGCCCTTATATAAGGAAAGGTAGCATAAGCAATAGAAATTTGTCATATATAGAAGCGGCACAGCAAAAGAAATTGTCCCTCTCGTTACCCAAAAACCCAACTATTGAAGTAACTTACATTATTGATCGCGCCTCTATTGCGTCATTAAGTCCTTTAGATCGTGACTTTGCTTTATTGCATCTTTTTGTTGAAAAGACTCTAACCAATTATGCAGACGGAGAAGTTGATACAAGTAATATTGATTCTAAAGATTCAATATTAAAAGAAATTATTAGTGGGTTGTCTAAAACCGACATTTTTCAAGAAACTTCAACTACAATAGCATATATCAAGAATTTAAGAGAGTCTCGATGCTTCATAAAAATTGTTGATTTTAGTTCATTTATTCTAATAATTATTCCATCGTTTAGGGTTATATTAGATATTATGAAACAAAATCGCGGATTTCAAGTTGACAACAAATCGTGTTTTATGAGTATAATAATATTTTTATGTAAAAGACCCCAAGTTCGAAGTGATTCTATAAACAAGTCACTAGATTCTAGTCGAGATCAGGCCCTATCTTTTGAAACTATTTCTTTATTTCATAAAGCTGTAACTTCAACTAAAAATTCATTAGATCCTAGTTTGTTAAGTGGTTCTTTTTCCGAAAATTTCTCTAATTCGGATCTTTCAGATCAGGCAACACAAATCACTTTAAATATTACACAGTTATATTCTCATGGATTTGTTAAGTCTGTATACGCTAGTGTTTTACAAAGACATAAAGTTACAAAAACTGATTTTCTTAAAGCGATTGACACTTGCGTAGAAACTTCTGTTGATATAGATATCACAGGGTATGTCAATGTACATGTAAAAGCTTCTCGAGAGAGACCAGATAGGTTGGTACATTTTACTATTTTCAAGTTCTTTACGATTAATCATTATTTAAAATAAGAAACACTCTTACATAGTGATGATGTCGACGACGTATATCAAAAATTTGTTGCTGTACTTGGTCATTACTTTGAACCGGCCAATTTTGATGGAGATGAATTGCAAAATATATATTATTATCGGCCAAATTTCAAAAAACCAAATTCGTTGTCTATAGATAACGAAAATGCTGCTGATATTGCAGGAAGCTTTCTGGATGTTTTTAATTATGCAGATAATCCTTTATTTTTACGGCTTGAATGCACCCTCAAGAAACCGGCTTCAACCCGTGTGCTTGAGAATATTGATTACGCGCATAGAGACTATAGACCAGGAGAATCTAGTTTCGTGAAATTTCCTGTTTCAAGCTTGCCAACAAGTTATTCGTGTACAGTGGATGGCAAATTTTACGATTTTTCTCCAGAATCAATCGGGACAAAAACATCTCCTGTGGAATCCTCTGATGGCACTACCGCTACCTTGCATCTTATTTGTTTGACTTTGCCTAAAGTTGATAATGAAATTGCCGAAATAGCTCTAGGTTTCGTTGATCTCAGAACGGATGATAACGTGACAAGGTATTTCAAAATTACTTATTTTACGTACTCTTGTTTTTCTTAACGATCGATAACGTAAGATATTTAAATTATAGTGCCTTTGAAAGTACAAAAGAAAATATGGATTCACTTACTACTGACAAACAAGAAGCTCTGGCAGAGACTCGACATCGTATTGATTGGTTATTAAGAGAGGAAATAATGCATGGACTATTGAAATCGCAACCTGTAGAAAAATTGGTCCTTTCATATATTCAAGCACAGTTGAAACATAAAAATCCGTTTGTCGATTTTCCGACTACTTTTAATGTTCCATTATCCTTTGTTAATGATGAAAAAGGACAGGAAAGATTCTTAAAAGAATTTAGTAAAACTAATATGTCACCATATTCATTAAATCAAGTTGAAGGCTGCTTTTATATAAGCGAAGATGAAGAGAGGAGTGAACCTATAATTGTCAATAGTATGTCTGATTTTGATTCAAATAGAATCTCTGAAAATTCATCTCTTAATATTCTGGAAGATACGTATGACGATAATTATCCTGATGAGGATAGCGATATTTGCCAAGGTCTTGGAATTAGTATTTATTCCCTTGATGAAAATGATACTAAATTAGATCATCAAAATGTTAAATCTGTTAAGAGACATGTTGTACATAAACAATTGTTTTGGTTGTTGCTTATCCCACAAGAAACTTGTATACAAATGTATTTCTATTCAAAGGCGGTTTCAGCAATCGAACGTGCTAATATAATCAAACATGTGCGAAATTGTATAATACAAATTTCCGAAAAAGTCAATAGATTAGTATTATTAGACGAACTATGTTATTTACGTAGCTGTAGGTAAGGAACAAGGATAGTCTACTATTAAATTGTTTATGTAATAGATTGTTTGTTCTTGATTCTCTTGTATGTATTTAGCAACTTTTTGGTTCCTTCTGACGGTTCATCGGATTCTGAGGGAGAGTTTTCATCTGACTTGGTTGACGTGCTTTCAATGGCACCAAATGATGGGAATGTGACTGTTTCGAAAAAATTTAGACCAGGGCAGTTTGAATGTCCATTGGTTTATAAACAATCGTTTCCACTCCATTGGCGGCTAAAACCGAACCAAGCATTAAATGGCATTGCATCATCTGTGCTTAATGCATTTGAAGTTTCTAATAGAAAAAATATGTATGTAATAAGGAGCGAAGATTATATCGTTTATCTCAAAATATTTGAAGTAGAAGTATCCTCAACTTATATTGTTGATGAGAATTTTGATGATTCTTCTCGATTTTCGAATTTGGAATCACAATCAAATATTCATGTTACTGATGAATCACGAAAACCTCCACCAAAAAATGAAGGAAGTCCACGCAAATCGAATGCTCAAGCTAGAGTAACAGATTCTCGAGAATTAGTCGTAGAAGTTTTTGGTTTGGATACTCCAGGCAAAGAGATAACCGAAAAGTTAATGGAATCGTTAGAAAAAAGATTGATTTCAAACATAACTCTTAATGTTATGTCTACCTTTCTTGCTCGTAATCTTAAAGTAAATCCAACTCGAGCGGTTAGTTAAGTTTATATAAAATTAATCTCTGTAGTTTGCTATTTGTTTTACCTTATATGTATATAATATTTTTACTATTATTATTATCATTTAGGATGTAGATTTTATTTTACCTATTCATAGAACTCCCCATCGCCTATCTTTAAAAGCACCATCATGTATAAGAAATATTTATGCTTTCTTGGTGTATTTTAGACAAAATATTTCTTTGTACCTCAACACTTTACAAGGACCAGAAGTGACGAACGCAATAAAGCGTCATTATAACTCAAACTATGGAACAACCGAATTTCCAGATTCGACTTCTGACAGCGGGAGGTATGTTACACAGATCTTACCAGTTTTTTGAACGTATGTAAATTTTTTTTAATACGATACTTAACTGAATTTTCCGAATGGATAGAAAAACTCCAACAACAAATAATATCCAACTTCATGAATTTGTCTTCTTTTATAACAATAACAACCAATCTCGTACACATCCTTTTGAGGCATCAGTCGGTCAAGGGATTGCAGGACTCTGTTTCACTTTATTGAATCGACAAGGTCAGCCTGTTTTTGAACTTTCGGTTCCTGATACTGTTGATTCGGACGACATAGATTTGAATAAGATTTTAGAATACATTTCTAACGATGAGGCATTAATAGTTACGGACTCGAATAATGGTTCGAATTATAATATTTTAGACGCTCCTTATAGGCTATTAATAGAGTTATGGAGTCATTGTCCTCTTAATTATAATATCCTACTTAATAGAATTACAAAAAGTTTCCAACAGAGTCTTTGTGATTACTTCATTGAAGTATCTATAAGTAAAGGATTGGGCCGCGTTTCTGCTGATAACATTATCCAGATGACAAAAAATTTAGATCAAGGCGATCAATGTATTAATGAACATGTCGAACTGCATGTTCAACATAATTTTGTTGAGCCAGTTTTAGAACTCTTGAACAAAGCATCTGATATGGCAAATCCGGCATTGCATGCATTGCGTACGAGATTAGATATGCCTTCTTGGATGATGGATAACTTTTTAAATGAAGTCCACGAACTTTTAGTTGAAGTACATGATATATTTACTCCAATTATATTGAGAACAATTCCTACAGCATTAACACCAAAATATGAAATTTATCGGCCAAAGCACTCTATTTCTACTATGGACGAGTCAATATCTGTTCCACATCAATATTTATTAGTTGCTGGACTTAAAGAGATGAATGCAAAATATGGTTCACATAAACCAGACAATCGCAGAAGCAGTGTGTATGGAAGCGATGTGCTACATTCTCGTAGAAGTTCTACTGAAAATATTTCAAATGAAAAAGCTAATGTGATCCATTCGCGTAAAAGTTCTTGGATGCCATTAGCCGTACAAAAGCGTCATTTAATTGAGGACATCATGATGCATACAATCAATGACCATGCCAACCGCAATACATCTGATTTGTTTCGTTCGTGTTTTTTGGTAATGTCTATTAATGGCTTTGACTTAACTATTTATACTTATAATTGGGATAAGCAATATGCTGAGCAAGTATTTACTGCAATGAGAAGAATTTCTGATTGGCATAATAAACGCATAGAACTTTTGAATAATATTTTTCATCAAAAAATGGGATTATTTTATCATACAAATAATATATTTAAGACACAACCTCAGACTCCATTACCTGTCAACAGCAATCCTAATACCCCTAGACTTTCAATGTCGGGAACAAATCGTTCGAATGTTACACCAAATGGTCAAAGTACGACAACAGATTTAATGCACGTATATTCTTTAATATCTGAACGATTTCCTCAGCGTCAAAATATTGATATCCGATCTGAAGAAAGTAAAAAAAATTCAGAGGCACGTCATGAAGTAGGCAATTCATATTCAACCGGATTGGAAGCAAACCGATTCATTTTAACTTCATCTGATTTAAATGACGTATTAAAAGATTCTTGTGTTGAAAAAGTAGCCGCATGTGATATTTCTAGTGTGAGTCGGGATGCACTTATGAGACATGGACCTCCATTTATAGAAGCATGTATAAAACAAGCAAAGATAATCCAAGCTCATGATAATGCTGAGAAAGTTTACAAGAAATGGGAAAAAAGATATCAAGGACACAAGGAAGATAATCCAGATACGAACGAAGTAATAACAAAATCAGATTTAGCTATAATATTTCGCACTTCTCGACTTCTGCATTTTTGCAGAACACCCCTACTATTTGGAGGGAAGGTTGAATCAATACGTTCTTCAGATATTCATACAGTAATTGCACCTGACCGAAAGGATAAAACCATAATATCTCAATGGTATAAAGATATGGTTGAAACTTTTTTGCAGGAATATTCTTCCAACTTGGAAAAACTTGGAATGCAAGTAGTTATGGGTGGCAAATCTGGCTTAATGTTGGTAGATGATGGTGACAAAGTGTTTTATACGTCTAGGTTTTCAGCGCCAGATAGTCCCGCTGTGTTCTTATTGAAGGAACTTAAGGGTGGTTCCATAATGTGTGAAATTCGAATTCAAGAAATTTTCGTGTGCGTTACTTTATATACATTAAATCATGGACGTAGGCTTACGACAGCTCCTGGAGTCGCTGAAATTGACAGATACAATCTAAGAGTATTTACTGAGGAGTGTGGAAGGTTCAAGAAGATGATACACGTTAATTCTTTTGTTTATGATTTCCATTTGAAATATATCAAGCATGTTTTGGAATCTTTGGAAAATTCACCCTCTTTTAATGTACTGGAAGTACTTAGGGCTTTCATTCGTCGACATTCTCAACCTGCATATTTTGCAGCTCATCGTATTTATCATGATACTTTTTACAAAGAGTTGCCGACAATTCCAAATGATTTGTTTGAGTACATTATAAAAAATCCTCTGCGATACGGTTTCCGCTCTACTTATTATGATGGTAAACCAATTTCTTGCTTTGCCACTTTAAATGTTACCCCGCAGAATCAAATTGCACATGATAATGAAACAACCTACAGTACATTAATTTTTACCGAAAGAAATCAATTTGATAAAAGTGTTCCCGGAAAGATTTCATTAGAATATTTTGTTATTGTTTTGCAAAATGATACTGATACATCATTTGAGGCAGAAACCACTGTAAGTTCTTCCGAATATATTCATAGTCGTCAGTCAACAGATCTATCGTATTTAGACCTTTTAGAGATAAAAAATCGTTCGGAAAATAGACTTGATTCTATAATTTCTCAGGTATTAAAAATATTTACTAAATTTTATATTGTTATTATTATTGAATTTTTAAAAATATAAATAATTAATATCCTTCAATTATTTAAACAGGCAAGTCAATTTCATCGACGCGATTCGTTATGGCGTGTATTATGTAATGCTAAACCAAATAGTAATAACAACGCGAATAATAATGCAATAAACGTTCAAGATTTTCTTGAATTAAAAAATCAATGGTATAGTCGTGAACTTATCACGATTTATCCTGATTTTAAGGAATTCCTTGATATGAATTTAAATTGGACTGAATTGTTAAAATTTTTATCACGTTATCATTCCGAATTTTCTAGAGAGTTATATGAAGAAGAAAATAATATTCGTCATTTAGTAATTTTAAATTCTCATACTTATGATTTACTCTTACATTTTATTTTATCGTATTCTAAGGATGATGAGACAGAAATAGATAACAATAATGATAACGATAATGGCAAACTTGTAGTGAATGTAGTTTGTCGTGAAGCACTCGACTTTAAAGAATTCGAGTTACAATTTGCAGCTGATCTTGCTAGAACAATTGGATATTGGTTATGGGATAAATTAACTTAGATTATTAACATAAAAAGAGAGTTTTACAAATTTGTATATTTATATATTTATTTATCACATATTTAACATATTTAACACATAAATAATTAATAAATATTATAATTGTTGTTATGTGGCACAGTAAATTAACCATAAAATGATATTTGATGGATGATGTCATAATTAATTCTAAAACGTTTATAACTTCCGATAATTTGTACATGTTCGCTTTATCTGGTTTTACAAAATCTGTCTCCTTTCGTCCATTATTTCATATATTACCGACGTTACGTTATTCATTTTATTCAACAACGATAAAAAGAATGGGAGTACAAAAGTTAAACGAAGAGGAACGCAATACACTTCTTTCACCATTACTTTCCGATTCTTGGGAAATGGTACAAGACCGGGATGCAATAAAGAAAAATTTTACTTTCAAGGATTTTAACGAAGCATTTGGTTTCATGACTAGAATTGCATTAAGAGCAGACAAGGTTGACCACCATCCAGAATGGTTCAATGTAAGTTAAATTCTTATATGCGACTTAAATTTCAATGTAATAATTATTGTTATTTCAGGTATACAATCGTGTAGAAATAACACTTGCAACACATGAATGTAAAGGTCTCTCTCAAAGAGATGTGAATCTTGCAAAATTCATTGATAATGTCTACGCTACTTTTACCAATTAATTAACATTTACGGGTTATTTTTATACAAACAATGTAATAAAAAAGATTTCTCACCATGTTAATTATTATTTATTTAAGTTATACAAATTATTATTCTCGATTAACTAACATATATAATCCAAGGAATCCAATTAATACAAATTTAAGTTGAGGATAATCATTCATAAGAATTGTAATAATTCCAATATACGGCAAAAATCTTAAAAAAGTAAAAAAGTTAAAAGATATTTTTTCTTAAATACATAAGAAAAATAGATTAATTACCCTCTAACTTTTCCAATAATATGTTCTCTATGAATCCAAAGTTGTCCCGGATTATATAATCCACGATCATCTACTTGATTATTATCACCTTTTGTTAAAATATATTGTTTCCCTGTTTCTTTCCTAAAAATGAAAGTTGCAAATGAAACCTTCGCGGGTCAATATTTCATTTTCAACTAAGATAATAAATACTCACTCATCATGCAATTTTATGACGCGATGTACAATCGGAACATCTCTTCCCGGTATTTTGAATACACATATATCACCAACTCTTATAGGCTCATCTGGCATCCCCAGGAATAATAAATCTCCTCGATAGAATGCTGGTTCCATACTGCCACTATAAAATAGAATAGATCGGTTTAAATTTGATCAATAAAGAATTGAAGATAAGACTTTGTCTTGATACCTTAGAACTACCACAATAGGACTTTCGCTATTTGTATAAAGAGCTAGCCCTTTCCATACCATTAATGCCGATGAAATTATCATTAGGAAATTTAAAATTTGTTGCGCCAACTAAAACAAATATTTATAATTAATAATGTTGGAATTACGGTATACATCTTTAAGAAATTTCACCTGACGCTTATTCATTTTTCGTAAAAACCGTATTTCGTCTTCAAATAACATTATTTATTATTTTATTAAAAAGAAGGAAAAGTTATATTATTAAAAAAGTTATATCTTTAAATTTATATAAGTTTCCACCCAATCAAAATTTTACTCGTAAGTCGATAACTTAACAGATCATGTGATAATCTTCCACCCTCGACGTTTACACCATTATGGATGGTATGGATGGTATATTGTAACGTATGGACCTCTTATATTTACTTATGAAAATATAGAACATTTTTATAGAGATCAATATTCTTTTTTATTTTTTCATTTAACATAATACAATAGAACATCTTGTATCAAGCGGGACAGTCTCATGGGTAGCAACTACATGTTTTGTTGTACTTCTGTTCTATCTTTATGTTAAAAATAAAAATAAAAATAACAGATAAAATAATTGAATTTTATAATCGAATTTTCATATTTTCATATTAAAAAATTTTAATTGTATTTATAATTAATAAACAATTGCAGAAATTATTTTTAAATAATTAAATTTGTAACTTGTATATAGAATAAATTCAATAAAGTTCTTTTAATTAACAGATATATCTAGTAATAATAATAATGAATTGTCAAACCAACATATTTAATATTATATTTATCTTTAATATATTTATATTGTATTTTAATATTTCAATTATTTTTTGATATTGAAAGTATTTTTATTATGGTATAACCGTATAAGTCTATTTTATTAAATAAAAAAATATATAAAGTTTAACTTTAATATTTAAAAATTTAAAATTAAATAATTTTCAAATTTTACTATATTTTCAAGAAAATTTCTAATTTAAAAATTTATATAATTTTTTTTAAAAAAAAATTTATTTCTTTTTTTTTTTTTTTTTTTTTT